TGGAAGCTTCGTTAAATGTGCGCACTAAGTCTGAACACATGTTACTGGCGCACTATGTGGTAACCTAGGTGCTGGAAGAAAACAAAGAAATCTGCAAAGACACAACCCATTGTCAAAGGCAGAAACAGTCCAAAGTTTGGGATCAAGACTTAAAACTACAAGCAGAATTGCTAATGCTAAGCTAGCATGTAGCAAGCTCAATGCTCACGATTAATCAGAGAAAATGTGATGGTTGTGAGCAGTGATGGGAATAACTCCGATTAAACTAACGGCGTTCATTTTTAGGTGACGGAATAATGTAATTAATTACTTTTCCCATTGTTGCAACGCCGTTACCGTAACCGTTACCGTTACTGGGGACGGAAGGTCGTGCGTTACTGTGTGCTTGTCGAACGTTGAGCAACAGCGTGAGGCTTTCTGACCGCCACACTTCCGCTGCAGCCAGGGAGAGAGAGGTGTCGGTAACGCACTTACAAACACGATGATGATTGGCCGGGTGGGCGGAGACCCTCAGTGTTCTCACTGTCACCGCATGCTGTAGACACAACAGAGCAGTGATGGGAATAACGCCGTTTAAAATAACCGCGTTACTAAAAAAAAAAAGTCCAGTAACGAGCAATCTAATTACCGTCTTCTTTTATCAAAACGTTATTTCTGTTACTGATAAGAAAACAAACGTGCGTTAAGCAGCGCGGTGTGTTTAAGCTGTCATCAGCTGATCAGGAGCTAAAGTGGCAGATGTTTTCATCCAAGCGCATCACGGCCCGTGAAGAACGAGGAAGACGTGATGAATAGTCTACGTCCTTCTTAGCGTGACAGCGGGACATCCCGAAGGTCCGCTCACCTGTTCAACGCTCAGACGTCCTGATCTTCTACCCTCCTAGATCATCCAGCTGTAACCTGTTTCTGATCGTGTCTTTAGTCCCGCTGTAACGCTGATGCTTCAGTCTCAAACGTCGTGGAGCTCAGGTGTTATTAGAACTACCTGTGTGTGTTTACCACCCAGCTTCAGCTCTTCTGTGTTTGGGTCTGACCCAAGTTAGTACATTTAAGTCCTCCATCAGATTTGTGCCTCTAGTGTCATTTTAAAGGATTTTTATTTATTTATTTAACCATTACTAGATTAGCAGCAACAGAAATGCTTCTAAAACACATAATTATGTGAAGCTGGAAAAATGAAAATACTGTGCAAAATTACATTTATTTCTGTAATTTAACTAGACTGAGAGACTATTTAAAGGCTCAGGAACCTTTACAGGTGTTTAGATTAGCAATTTTAAATTTGATCTGATTAGGGTCTTGTTAAATATCACACAGTGACCTTTTAATAGTCTAGATAAGTATAATGTTCCTGTTAGTAGTTCCTCCTGTTAAGTGCTTATTTATTTAAATTATTCAGGTTTATAAAAAAACATTTGGACATACATTTTATTATGTTCCAGTCATTAGTCATTTATATTTCACTATTGTAGTAATTTATATTAAATTAAGTAAGTTTAAGAGGGGAACCCATTTTTCTTGCATTCTTTAATGAAAAAAGTAAGTAGTTATTTTTCTTGGTAATTAGTTACTTTTATAATCTCGAAACTTGGTTAGCAACTGAGTTACTTTTTGACAAAGTAATTAGTAACTATAACTAATTACTTTTTTAAAGTAACTTTCCCAACACTGGTTGTGAGTGACTAAACTCTACAAGCGTAAGAAAAATCCCCACCATTCATCCTGTTTATTTGTGGATGCCTGCAGCAGTGTGGGGCAGAGCCGTAGCAGCTACCTGGAGTCTGGGTTGTTGCTACGAGTCTGCTTCACAAACTGTAGCAGGCTGTATGGCAAGCCCAGAGGTTTTCCTGGCTCAAATTGAGGCAGAGGTGGTACCATCCTGACCATGAGCCAGCACATGCATACTCTGTGCATTCAACTGCCTCACTTTTTTAAAGGCAAAATATTATAAAAGGCTCAATAATATGCATTAGATTGGTGTTTAGTTCCCCCTTTCCCATCTGATATTTATAATTAAAAATATTTTAAATATTTGACGTACATTTCAGTAACATTTTAGGTTTGTATTAATTCATTCACTGCCAGCCGTTTCCTGATCACTAACGGCCTTCGCTGCCAGCGTTTCTCATCGTTTTTACTGTTTTTTTAAGAGTCACAGAACGTTGCGTGCTAGCATGATGTCGATGCCAAAACAACCAAAACAAAGAGGAGACTCACCTCTTACATCAGGAAGAAGCCATGTGTTTCGAGCGTTATCCGTTCTTTCATAATCTGTTGTCAAATTGTGATCGGCAGACGCTTTTCCGGTTCGCCCCTCACTTTTTTTACAGGAACGGCCCAAAACGATCTCCTAACACATTGATGTGTTGCTTCCTGATCATGTGATCTGTGACGTATGCGGATGAAGATCGGCTTCAGGGCTGAGATGTTTGTTCTCTCAGCGCGGGGGCTCGTTCCGATGCTCAAACAGTAAAAAAATGCAAATGATGACTTTAGTCGTCAATGGCAGTGAATGAGTTAATAACACTCATCTTAGTCAAAATAGCACTTAAATATATCCAGTAAAATACAATGCATTTCATTAACATGCATTTGTATTGGAAATGGTAATAACATTTAATTTCTGCTGCTAACAATGTAATGGTGGCATGTCTATTTAGTTAGGGTCGGGGGAGGGGGGTTCTGTTTTGCCTTGGCCCCCAAAATGCTTTGGAACGGCCCTGGGTGTGTGACTGAGTTTTGAAGGTGATCTGAATTGTATCAAATGTATAAATATTACGTGTATAACTTGTTGTTTTATACAGGTAAAAACGTGTAGTGGAGACAAATCTACCTACATTTTACTTTTCAACAACTTTGCTTTGTTTTCTTGTTTTTATTTAACCATTTTTCTGTCCTGTCTTCTCTCATCTTCCTGCATCTCCTCTAAACTCTCCAGAAAAACTGCTGCCTGGATTTTTACTTTTTCACCTCATCTGTTACTTTTGAGCAGATCAAAGGGACCTGACCACAAAGCGGAGAGCGCGTTTCGATGCTGCGTCAGTGAGGTGAAATCACCGTAGTACACGATGAGCTGAGCTTGTCAGGAACGATTAAAAGACAAAGTACCAGAGGATATAAACACATATGAACAATCATGTGTTAATAATAATGTTTTGTTGCGCCACCTTGAGAATGTATCGTGCGCCGGACGCAGCAGGCGCACCAACGATCAGCGATCCTGCATCCTCTCCGCTCAGCGGAATCCCGCTACGCTGAGAGTCCATAAATATTGTAATATAGGCAGAAACTGGATCTTTCCCTGAAAGATATCTAGCCCCCATAATTCGATCCCTGCTCCTGGATGAAAAACCGGACATTTTGATCAATGTAGGAAACCAGAGTGAAATCAGGCTGGGGCGGCACAAAAATATCTGGAGGCGGCGGCCGCCATGCAAATTTGAACGCAGGAAAACCCCTGAAGCCATTGTAGCTTGTAACACACAAACGCTTCTATATCTGATTCAATTTAGACTAGATTAAGCTGCCAACCTGTGCATAATAAAATAAATGTGCCACCGTTTCATTACCAGTAGAAATAAAATTTTATTAGCATTTCCAGCAGCTTACCACTGAATATGTTGAGGAAATAATGACATTGTATTGATCATATATGGATATATATAGATATGTTATTTTGACTAGGATGAGTTATATTAATGCAAACCTAAAATGTTAATGAAATGAAAGTCAAATTTAGTTCCATAAAACATTAACTAGAAATATCAGCTGGGAAAGAGGAAACTAGACAACACCAGTTTAATGCATATTGTTTTATCATTTAGCTGTTTTATTTTCAGATTTTTAGCAGCAAACCAGTCTTGTTTCACTTGAAACTTCGTCAAATAGAATACTCGATTAATCGACGGGGATTCGAAAGAATAGTCGAATACTAAAATATTCTATAGCTGCAGCCCTAATAACAAGTTTTTATGCATTTTACAGTCTTCGTACACAAAAAAAGGATGTAACGCTGCTGTGTATTAGCTTGTAGAATATTAAGGATAAATTAATAACAGAACCTTTAAAGTAAGGCAGTGAGAAGTGAGCAACGGCGGCAGGCAGGTGTGCAGTGACAACAGATCAGGTCACGTGATGTTTATCTTAAGTTGAGCTGCTTTATTTATTTATTTAATTATTTATTTATTTATTTTAAATCTCATGACACCTCATTTTTTCCTCCGGGGAATTAACTCGGGTAGCACGGATTGCAGCTGTTGGAAAAAAAAAAACAATTGAATCCAAAACAGACGAGGAACATTTTTGACACGAACAAGTCAGCTTCTCTGTCCTCTTGGAAACAGCGTTCTCTCTTTCACAAATGACGTTAAACAGACAGGGATTGTTAACATGCATCGGTGATTGCCACCTGATTTTGTTTTTGAACAGAAAGATGCAAAGTTGCACATTAATTAAAGTTCTTTCTTGTGCTATTTTCTCCTTAATAAACAGATTAAAGCCATAACGTTAATCAGCTCTTTAGTATTTCTTCATGCATCACTGCTTCTGAGAGAACTTTTTTATTTGCCGAAGCTGTGCTTTATAGTCACACAAACGCACCTGCTGCATTATTGTCAGGGACCACAATAGCTATGTAAATCTCTGTTTTCCAATTATGCCCATGAACGGTTTTCCTGCTTAATAAAAACAAAGCTGCTTTAAGTCTTTTACTCCAGGGTAACTCGTTTACTTCAGAACAAGAGGTGGGAAAGTAGAACATGTTGTTGTTAACAATAACTGAGTTCACACTGGCCCTAAATGTAATATTCTACTTTATTGTTGCAGCTGTTTGTGTTATAAAGTTTGGATATCTGGTCTCTGAGCTTCTGAATGTGCGCCTCGGTCATTATTCTCTGCTGTGCTTCTGGTTTTTCAGGTGTTGCTCAGCAGGATTACAGAGTGACATTGAACATAGCTGGAGCTTTTTAATACCTTCTCCCCTTCTTATTCGTCTCTTTCAGGTACATCACCCAGCAGGGCCATAAACTAGAGGTGGGGGCACCTCGACCGCCCGCCACCGTTACCAACGCCGTGTCTTGGCGGTCAGAAGGCATCAAGTACAGGAAGAATGAAGTTTTTATGGATGTTATAGAGTCTGTAAATCTTCTGGTGAGGACAGTGACGAGAACAAACGATAGAAATATGTGTTATATAGCTAAGAGGGTGTATGTAAATGAAAATAATCTGTTAATCCCTGACTTATTTTCACTCATCTGCACATTTTCCCATCTTTCTTTGAAATAACTTCTGAGGAAACGTCTTTTACCACCCATTCTATTTTATGTTTTCATTGTTTCATAAGGAGTGACTTGGTCTGAGTGGCTTTACGTGTGTGTGAATGGATGAATGGAGTCCTCTGACTCTAATGGGCCATTCCCATCTGTACCGGGTCGGCCCGGGTTGGGTAACCCCATGAAATCTGCTTCAGCTGGCTACTTAAATTACTGGTGACACCACTGGGATTTGAACAATAGTCAGCACATGGAAAAACTGAGGTGGGAGGCAGGCACCTTTACCACTGGACTACCATAGCCAACATAGCCAATGGTCAGCCAAAGACATTGTCGCAGGCACGTTTTGTCGAAGTGGGTGTGGGCGGAGCTTCACAGAAACAAAGCGTTTTATTTCCAGATATAAATTTCGACTGAAAATATTTCATATTTAAGATAAATGGTTTCTCAATGGTGCCAGTGGTAATATTTCATCATGTACTATGCTTACCTTTGCTCTCAAAGGTTTAAAATAGCATGATATGGAGCCTTTAAGGTGGAATTACTGTCACACTAAAATAGATTTGTCTCATAAAACCACCAAATAGTTCCCGAGCGCAGCCAGTGCTGCAGCTCACGCGTCCCCACAGGGATGGGTCAAATCCGGAGGTGGAATTTCACCAGTGTGAGACTTGAACTTTGACTTTAAAAGAATAACCTAAATTACAAAATAGTAATAAAAATAGTGTTTTTGATAGCAATGATTGCCTATTTTACAATAATTACATTTCATCCGCCCTGAAGCTTAATACACACACTGAAATTGAATAATACATTGTTTGGGTTGCAGAAAACACTGAGTATAAAGGTATTTCATGGTTTCTTCATGTTCAGAAATTCCCTCCAGCACCACGTTTATTGCACAGCTGCAAGTTTTTACCCATCAAGTTGAAATTAATGGCGTGAAGGTATTTAACCACTGTTGCGTAGCTATACTTTCCACTTCCTTTTATGTGACCAGGGACTTTTAAATAGGGTTCTGCTTGCTTATTGGCTAAAAGAGTCTTTTGTTGGAAATTCCAGTGAAAAACAAGAGAATGCAAAGGACAAAACGGGTAATAAAAACACTAAAAAGCAAAGTAAAGTTTATGAACTTTAAAAAAATGGCCGTGAAACACTTTTTAAACAAATTGTTTATTAAGCTGTTGTGTTTATGTCTTCTGTCCTGCAGGTTAGTGCCAATGGGAGCGTCCTGCGCAGTGAAATAGTGGGTAGCATCAAGCTCAAAGTGGTCCTGTCAGGAATGCCAGAACTACGGCTCGGCCTCAATGACAAAGTGTTATTTGAGATCACAGGCAGTAAGTAGCACTCACGTTCAGTGCACACATTCACTCATACATCTTAGAGCATTTATACCTTCACAATGAAAATGAGGAACATTACATTTCAAAGGTTTTTGGTGAGACTATATAAACTTCTGAGGCTTCTCAGAAGAGCTGAGCTGAAAGGCAGAGCTTTCCGTTAACTCCTCACTAGACCTGTGACCTGACTTTGGATCGGGGGCAGAAGCTGGATGGAAGGGTTACAGACTTAGAAATATATATTTTTTTCCTTTGTCATTTTAAAATACCATCAAACTACACGATTTAAAGGTGGGATAGGAGTTCCAGAAAAGGCTTCCAGATCTGAGGAAAGCTAATGCCCTAAGGTTCAGTTAGACTTTGTTGACTGTTGTTTGCACCTTTTTTGCCATAATTTCTGACATAACGCATCTACATAATTGTAATTTAGTATGCTAGCTGATGCTGTGTGGCATTTTTATGGTTGAAACAAGGTCGTTTTAGCTTTATTCTTTTATTAATAACTTCAAAATCACAGCAGCTCAGTGCTGCCAACAATATGGGAAAACCCACAAAGAAAAGGTCAGAACTTCAACAACCTGAATCGAACCTCCTTCTGAACACTCTCTCTGCTTGTCCAAACCCCACCACCACCACACACACACTTTGCCAAGATAACAGACTGGCGGACAGCTCTACCAGCTGACAGAGCACAGGCTGCGTTTACAAGTAACAAGTTCGTCACCTAAAGATTTCTCACCGAGAACAGAACCAGACTAAACAAAATATCTAAAACTTTTTGCAAAGAGAACATTACACTAGCTGGCCCATCTCTGTCTTCACTTCCTGTTTAGAACCTGAGATTTTTGCACATAGGGTATAGGGTTTCCCCCAGAAAATGAGTTAAGCCTTGGGGGGGGGGGGGTTGTACGCTCCATCCCGCAGCTCTCCTCTGTGAGAGCGGGGGTGGGGGTGAGGGGGGTAGCACATGTTCCGCTGCTGTTTCTCACCAGTGTCAGCTGATGGAGGGCTCTAATTTCGTTGCGCCGTTTGTGTCAGCGGACACGGTAGTGTCGGGGAGGGGGCGGGGCATGACGCTTAGCTTGGCGAGTGGCCAAGCAAAGCCTGGCGGCCCGCCAGGCTTATAAAGCGCTGGGGGAAACCCTGGTGCAGTATGTGCAATCAGGGGAGAGATGTTCAGAGGGCAGTTTGATGGATGGATCAGGATCCAATCATTAAGAACAGGGTGTTCACAATGATTGGATCAGGTTTATTATTATTATTATTATTATTATTTTTTGTACAGGTCAGAAGTAGTTAAAATTACGTTTAAAGTTTGATTTATTGGTTGCCATGGGGATGTGAAGATAATTTCAAGCAATATGGCAAGAAATGCTCCAGAAAAACATCACCTACTGCACCTCTAGTATTGATTAACTCTACATTGATACAAAATATTATTCACAGATATTATTTTTAAAGTAATATTATTTATAATATTGTCATTTTATTAGCTACATCTGAAGCACCATTTGGAATAATCTTACGTGAAACCATGGCAACAACACTCCAATAAAATCCAAACATAACAAATCAAAACTATTCTGACACAGTTGCACAGGTTATAATTTTACAACATTTTACACATTTCCCTGAAATATCACAGCTAGATTTGGCTTCAAACACCCAGACTTTAGTGTGACTGATATAAATTGGTCTTAAGCTGTCAAATGTGCTTTGGAAATGTTAGAACTTTTGAATAAAAATGACATGCTGGGTTATTTCAAAGCTGCTCACACTCACCTTGAACTCACCCTCACACCTCATCTCTTTCTGTCTGATTCCCACGTGTAGCTATTATCTGTCCTCCACTCCTCCCTCTGTGCCAACTTTTTTTTCTTTTATTGTTTCTCACAGCTAAATCTTCTCTCTCCCATCCCTGCACCCCCCCCCCCCCCCCCTTTCCATCTCCTCTTCCTCGTCCCTTTGGCCTACATTTCCTCAGCCCTTCCTGTTCCTCACTGAAGAGGAAAGACTCCATCACTGTCTAGCCTCTTTGCCTCTGAGTTAATCCTCTCCTCAGGCAACAGCCCTGCAGATGAAAGGTGAAGGTCTGTGGCTACTGTTTGCAGACCCCCCCCCCCCCCCCCCCCCCACACACACACACACACACACGCACACACACACATCCCAGCAGTGTGTAAGATTGTGGGAAATAACACATCTCCATAAACACTGATCGGGAATAGCGATCAAACGTTTTTTTCCCCACTGAATATTAATACTAGTCTCCATTTTTTCATCTTGGGTTGTGTTTGGTTGATTTGTTTAAATAAATATTTTACATTTATGGTGTGTACTATTTATCTCTTGAAGTTTCAACCAAAGTATGAGAAGAAAAGTCATGTAATGCTGCCCTCTAGTGGATGAAACACAGAAATGGGGTGGGGGGAACAGTCAAGTTGCACGTAAAGCAGTGGAACGGATAATAATTCAGATCTTTTTCAATTAATAACAATAACCTCAAAGGTTAGGGCGGGCACTGTGGTGTTTAAGGTGTGAAATGGCTCCTCCCAAGTAACACTTGATTTTAGGATGACTAAAAATGTATATTTTTTCTTAGTTTTTCAGGTATTTAATTATGAATTTATTATTTCTTATTATACTTTTTGTTGTTGTTGAATATTTTGTCATTTGTTTCCCATCTTTTTGATAAAATATGATCAACTGCGGGCTGCACAGTGGTTAGAGCTGTTGCCTTGCAGCAAGAAGGTCCTGGGTTCGCTTCCCGGCCTGGGATCTTTCTGCATGGAGTTAGCATGTTCTCCCTGTGCATGTGTGGGTTCTCTCCGGGTACTCCGGCTTCCTCCCACAGTCCAAAAACATGACTGTTAGGTTAACTGGTCTGTCTAAATTGTCCTTAGCTGTGTGTGCATGATTGTTTATCCTGTGTGTCTCTGTGTTGCCCTGTGATGGACTGGCTCTCTGTCCATGGTGTACCCCGCCTGATTGCCCGTTGACCGCTGGAGATAGGCGCCAGCCCCCCCTGTTACAGACAGAAATGGATACATGTTCCTAAAGGGCCTTTGCCTAACAAGGACTTTCTTTTCACATATATTATCTAAACCTGACCTCATCCAGTTACTACTTAAGGAGCGGTATTTACTTCACACACAAACACACACCAAACCCAAATCAATAGAGGAGCGTTCAAGTTCCCCCACATCTTCAGCAAGAGGCGATGCATAAACCTCTGCACGTAGCCAGACTCGAGAGGACAATGAAGAAGGAAGTAGCATGCATAAATATGCACACACACTTCCACGCTGTCTGTGTGACAGGGCTCTGCTGGTCCAGGACTGCATTCAGAGCAGGTAAAGCAGGTTTTAGCTGACTGTTGAATAGGAGGATTTAGCCGAGGGCTCACAGTCACTACAACCATTTTCCACCACTCAGCACCCTCTATTAACCAAGGTGAGGGGGTGAACAGGGGACTTTGTGCTGCAGACCCCAGATGGAGACGCAAAACTGGTTGGCTTTTACAACTTCCAGCCGTGAACTCCTTCACTCAGCCTGGAGGAGAATAATATTTTCTAAAAGTTTTAGAAAGATGAGTCGATTTTAAATCTTTCACAATTTAAGAGGTGTTATTAAACAAAATTAATGGTGAGATTGTTCAGTATTAAAGGTGTGGGACACTGAAAAATCACTTTTTAAATCTTATTCCTGATTATAATCGGCCACTTTGAGTTTAGCATGCAGGCTGAACATGAAAATGTCTCCTGCACCTATCTCCTGCATTAGATTCTGATAGAAAACAGACAGTGAAAGTCTAGGATTTGAAAATCTTGACAGATCTACGTCACACTGTCACTGAACATTATGGACTCACCCATCTTGACTCACGATGGGGAAGGCTGTTGGTAGGATTAGCGTGCAGAAAACTGCAGATAACGTCTCGGCTAATAGAAGCTAACTGTTAGCATTAGCAACTCCACAACACAGCAGAACTCCTTCAGGCTTGTGTTATTTATATCAGTGTTGCAGCACAAACGGAGTCAGCCAATGGAGTTTGCCGATCAGAGGTGAGATGTACAAAAATCAGAAAATAATAGGGATGAGCCGGATAAAACATTTTTGACGAGTACTTGCATGAAATGAGTAAAACTCGTAAATATCTGTAATCATGCTGAAGGAAAATCCTCATTGGGTAACTGAATGTCTTCACGCTCTGTGATTGGCCAGTCACATAGAGCGCCCGCCCCTCCCTACACACAAAACTCTCTAGCCGGTCGGGAGCGCAGTCCGTCCGGCTCATCCACACACACACACAGACAGTAACGGATCTCGCTGTGATTGCTTCACTGTTGCTCATGTTTCTTCAGTTTTCCCTAGGTTTTCTTCAGCTCGCCTCTTTTTCGGTTGAATAATTAAAGTTACTTTTTTCGTAACTTACCTGGTGCATTTGACAAGACAGAGCTGACGTGCTGCATCAGTCACTCACTACCTCCGCTCCGGTCGTTTTTTTTTTAACTCCATCTCTCTCCCTCTCACCCTCTCTATCTCTCTCAGACACACACACCTCAATCAACATTGTTTTGTTTAACTTTGTGTGTGGCAAAATGCCAAGAACATTAAGAAAAAAATCAGTTTAATCAAATTAAAATTAAAAAATATACATAAAGTTTTATCTGGTTCTAGCATTTCATATTTCCTAGTTCCTACTGCATGAGTTCAGATGTATTAATCCATGCACTTAAATATTAAAGTTCTGGTTTTATTGAAACACTTGTTCTGTAATAGTTCCTTTACTATTGTGATCAAAAATATTAAATCTCTATTCTGAGGCTGCTCTGTAAATAGTTTTCAAATAAACAATACACATATCAACTTCTGATCAATCCATATCAATTTCAGACTTAAAATAATATATTGATGTAAACCACGCCCACTTCCGGTTAAATCATGCCCACTTCCGGGTTATACCACGCCCATTCCGAGTACAGATACAGATAATTTAGTTGGTTGAACAGATACAGATAGCGGTGTACTCGCTCATCCCTAGAAAATAACACTCCAAATCCTGTCACCTGAATTTTTTTTATTACAGGAAATCTGTGCAAAAAGGGTAGGCAGCTTCAGCTTACACCCTTTGGTTTTTTTTTTGCGATGTTTGTGTTATCTGTTTCCTACTTTTAAAAGAAACCCAGGTTACAAAACTTTGTGGTTCTTAAAAGATAAATGTTAGTTTCAGTTATATTAAAGTGGTGTAAAAAACTTTCTTAATGTCTTCATTTTTATAAAATTTGCAAAAATAGTTTAACTCGTAGGGCGCCATTGTTGTTTGCGCCGCAATGCACTCTGGGTAAGGACGTCATATGGTTGTACCTCGGTTGCACCGGCCGGCTTTGGGACCCTGTAGTGACTGTTCAGCGACATCAACATGTCATCTGTTCAGCCTTTTCAATTTGAACCAGAGCGAAACATTAATGATGACATCACTGACCATGTTTCACAAAACGAGCATCAAAATGAAGAGCAAGAAGGGCGGGATGAAGCGAGAGCAGGACAAAGCCGGTGGTGCGTGTGCGGCAAATGTGTCTCCATGGTAACCGAGAGGGAGAATGTTTGTTGTCAAGAGCTCACATTTTTGTCAGCAGAAGTTAACGGTGAGCTATCGTGTGATCAAACATATTCACTTATGAATGATTTAGGAGAATATTAGCAGAGCTGTCGTGTGCTCTATAGATGATTAGGATATTCAGTGAAACGACTTTAATCATTTTTGCAGATGTTATATATTTGGAGAACACTGTGTTGCTGCACTTTGTGCTTGTTTTACTGACGGGAGAGGTGAACGTTCAGCTTCATCCATGACGAATGGCGTGTCCGATGGTTCGCTGAACGTGTCAGAAGCGGCAGCTGCAGGAGCGGGTTGTCGGCTCAGGAGGGCGTCCAGCGTCTCTCGTCTCTCCGAGGGCGTTTAGGCTCCTTGTGTGGGAAAATGGTTGGTAAAGCATTTAGTTTCCGCCTTCTCTCATACCCAACTGCTCCGGCGAGCTCTTTAAGTAGTCGTGGTCGACTAAAAGCCTCAAACGCATCAGGAGAAAAATGTCGGGAACACAGCCGCGGATCTTTGGGAAGTTGTGTCCGTCCACAGGCATCTTCCCACTGCTTTCTCCTCTTCTTGCCAGTGGGAAAGCTGTGTAAACTCACATCACTCCCCTTGTTGCCCTCTGACTGGAAATTACATCCAAAAGCAGCACAATGCAGCATTTTACTTCATTATTAATACGGTGAGTGCGTAAAGAAACACTAACGCCAATAGCTGTTCTTCCAAGAGCAACCAATATACGTCATCGCCCCCAGAGTGCATTGCATGTGGAAAAGATGGCGTCCCACATATGTCAAATAATGTACTAAATATTATAGTTTGGTACAGCAGAAAATTTGTGGCTTATTAGGGCATCCATGTCCTCATAGCCGGAGTTCCTTTTAAAAATGACCAAATAAATGACAAAACTTAATTATTTTTCAACATGTAAATGTTTTTGTTTAAACGTCTGAGTGAAATACATTCCTGCAAGCACTCCTGGGTCTTTTTCTATTGACTGCATGATGAAAATTAGGGATGTCCGATTGTTTCTGCCCACCAAATCTTATTAGCCAATATTGACATTAAAATGCATCAGTATTAGTCTTTTACCCCCTTAATGACAAAATCTACTTCTCTTCTCATTTAAAATATCAAAACACATCAGATCTGAAGTTTAGGTTTTAAGATATTTTTGTTTATTTGGCACAACTTGTGAAGAAGTAGGAATTTAGGCTCTATCATCCGGCATTGATAAGAATGCTTATGTCGAACATCGCTAAAGAAGATGCTTGATTTGATTTGGTACAGCAAAGGGATTATAGATGTGTATATTAGACATTTTGGTGATAAGCTCATAGAACCCAGGCAGAGATGGTTTGGACACGTAGAAAGGAGCAAGACCAAGAGGAGCTTTATGGATGCAGTGAAAAAGGACATGAAGCTAACTGGTGGAAGAGTAGAAGATCAGGTTAGATGCAGCCAGATGATTCGCTGTAATGACCCATAAATGGAGATGCAAAATTTTCACTGTGATTGGCGGAAAACCCCATGAAACAGTAATCTAATTGTAGTGTTTGATAGAAACGTTATCTAAAAACCTTGTATGAGTAGAGAGGGTTTGTTGTTTTGTTTTTTGCTGCTCAGGGTGATCCTACGGTACTCATTAATTTGATTCCATGGGTGTTGGTGCAGGTGTGACTGTTTGTGATGCAGCTGATTGGGCTCCAGTGGGGAGGCGATGATGACAGCGGGTATTGAGGGCAAAGCGTCTGAACGCTCGTGTGTGGAAGCAAAGTAATTGTTCAACGGGGGACAAGAGGAGGGTGAAATACATGCGGTTGCACTATTTTTGTAGGGTGTGTGTGTGTGATTGTGTGTGTGTGTGTGTGTTTGTTAGTCATTATTACCTTGACCTTGATTTCCCCCAAGGCTGCATTAAAGCCTCTTAATCTTTGTGTGTGTGTGCGTGTGCGTGTGCGTGTGCGTGTGCGTGCGTGTGTGTGTGTGTGTGTGTGTGTGTGTGTGTGTGTGTGTGTGTGTGTGTGCGTGCGTGCGTGCGTGTGTGTGTGTGTCAGGAGAGAAGAGCAAAACGGTGGAGCTGGAGGATGTGAAGTTTCATCAGTGTGTCCGCCTGTCACGCTTCGAGAACGATCGCACCATCTCTTTCATCCCCCCCGATGGCGAGAGCGAGCTCATGTCGTACCGCCTCAACACAACCGTGAGTGGGACGCACAAACACATCCCAACTCACATGGGGCCAAGGAGACATGAATTATTCACCTCACACTGCCTCGAACACCTGCAACACAAACTCAAATGTTTCCATCTAAAAGATATTTGTCATTTTCCTTCACTTTACTCAACCCTGTGTTTAAGTTTATTCAAAAAGCTTTAAATCACAGCTAGAGGGCGCTGTATGGCTTAAAAAAACATCCAACTGACTTTTTTTGGTGTGCTGTTTTTGTTTGTTTGGAGTAACCCGTTTGCTGTTGTTTATTTCTGCTGTTATTTAACTGGTTGATCCGTACTTCACACTGAAAAGCACCCAGAGGCTCCTTCACTGGTAGTGAGACTTGTATTTAAAAGGACTGCAGCCCACTGCCCACAATACGTCTCTTTCTCAACAGTGATGGGAATAACGCTGTTTAAAATAATGGCATTACTAAAGGTGTTCTTTTTTTAGGTAACGGAATAATGTAATTAATTACCTTTCCCACTGTCGCAACGCCGTTACCGTTACTGGGGACAGAAGGTTGTGCGTTACTATGTGCTTGTCGAACGTTGAGCAACAGCGTGAGGCTTTCTGACCGCCACACTTCCGCTGCAGCCTGGGAGAGAGAGGTGTCGGTAACGCACTTACAAACACGATGATGATTGGCCGGGTGGGCGGAGACCCTCACTGTCTCAGTCACCGCATGCTGTAGACACAACAGAGCAGTGATGGGAATAACGCTGTTTAAAATAACCGTGTTAATAAAAAAAAATTATTTCAGTAACGAGCAAACTAATTAATTACCGTCTTCTTTTATCAAAACGTTGTTTCTGTTACTGATAAGGAAATGCGTGCGTTAAGCAGCGCGGTGTGTTGAAGCTGTCATCAGCTGATCAGGAGCTAAAGAGGTAGATGTTTTCATCCAAGAGCATCACGACCCATGAAGAACGAGGAAGACGTGATGATTAGTCTACGGCTGCAGGTGTGGATCTGCAGCCGTGCCCTTCTTAGCGTGACGGCGGGACGTCCTGAAGGTCCGCTCACCTGTTCACCGCTCAGACGTCCTGATCTTCTACCTTCCTAGATCATCCAGCTGTAAACTGTTTCTGATCATGTGTTTAGTCCTGCTGTAACACTGATGCATCAGTCTCAGACGTCATGGAGCTCAGGTGTTATTAGAACTACCTGTGTGTGTTTACCACCCAGCTTCAGCTCTTCTGTGGTTGGGTCTGACCCAAGTTAGTAAATGTAAGCCCTCCATCAGGCTTGTGCCTCTTCTAGTGTCATTTTAAATGATTTTATTTATTTAACCGTTACTAGATTACCAGCAACAGAAATGCTACTAAAACACACAATTATGTGAAGCTGGACAAATTAAAATATTGTGCAAATTTACATTAATTTCTGTAATTTAACTAGACTGAGAGACCATTTAAAGGCTCGAGAACCTTTACAGGTGTTTATATTTGCAATTTTAAATTGTAGCTGATTGGGGTCTTGTTAAATATCTCACAATGACCTTTTAATAGTCTAGATTAGTGTCATGTTCCTATTAGTAGTTCCTCCTGTTAAGTGCTTATTTATTTAAATTATTCAGGTTGATAAAAAACATTTTGGCATACATTTTATTATGTTCCAGTCATTAGACATTTATATTTCACTATTGTAGTAATTTATAGTAAATTAAGTTCAATTAACCCATTTTTCTTGCATTCTTTAATGAAAAAAGTAACTAAGTAGTTATTTTTCTTGGTAATTAGTTACTTTTATAATCTCGTAACTCAGTTAGCAACTGAGTTACTTTTTGACAAAGTAATTAGTAACTATAACTAATTACTTTTTAAAAGTAACTTTCCCAACACTGTTTCTCAATACTGATTCCTGTTATCTACCATAATATAATTCAATTCAAAAATACTTTATTAATCCCAGAGGGAAATTAGAGAAATATGTACTCAGCTGTCTCTTTTGTTTCAGTTATGCTCTGAGTTTAAGATATGCACTTTCATTATTAAGTATCATTAAGTCTGTGATCAGTTTCCTGCACAGGCAGGAATCACAGGTCGGACTAGACTCTCGTGCTGTATAAAACTGATGTGTCCCACTTAATATTTTAAAATTGTTTGTTGTATCTACAAAAAAAATAAACTCTTCTTTGGGGTTTTATTTTCTAATGAAAATGAAAAATCCCACACATCAATTTAAAACACATTCCCCCCAATCCTCCTGATTCGTTTGCATTAAGGCCTTGTAGTCTGTTGGAAATGGATGTCATTTGCACATTCATTTGACTACACACTCGGCTAGTTGCAGTGCATTGATGTGCAGTGCTCAATATTAAAACTGAATGTGCTGACCAGGATTTGTCATCCCCTTTTTTCTGAGCTTTTGTTGCACAGCCCGCTGGCCCTTTATACCCAAATAAAATCTTTACAGGTGTGGAGTTGTTTATTCCGATTTCACAAGCACAGCGTCTTGTTTTCTGTCTTGTTTGCTTTATTATTGAAGCAATGTTTGTGCTGTGATGCACTCTTCACACTTCTGACCTTGCCCACTCTGCTGTTCGATCTGTCCCTGACAGGTGAAGCCTCTCATATGGATCGAGAGTGTGATTGAAAGGTTCTCCCACAGCCGAGTGGAGATCAAAGTGAAGGTAACGACAAGTGATGCACAAATACCTATTGTCCCTGAGCATTTAGCTGACCTTTTTTTTAGGATACGTTCATCTCAGGTGGGTTGCTGTTCACCATCTGTTAAATGCCTTTAAGCCTGTACAACTCAAAATTACAGTCTGCACAATTATAAGGGCGTCCTTCACTGAAAAGCAGATGCGTTTGCTTTTTTCTTGATTGTAAAATCTTTGTGACATCTGAACTCTGTCCTCTGTCACCTCCTGCAGGCTCGAAGTCAGTTTAAAAGTCGCTCCACTGCCAACAATGTGTCCATCATGGTGCCGGTGCCCAGTGACGCTGACTCTCCCAAGTTCAAGACCAGCACAGGCAGCGCCAAGTGGGTGCCCGAGAAGAATGTGGTGCAGTGGAACATCAAATCCTTCCCTGTTAGTATGAATCCAAACAAGTTGACAGCTTCTCATCAGAAATCTGTTTTAATGCTGCAATAATTGTGTTTCTTAAAGACCAAGTTCACTCGTTTGTACAATACTTTTGCACTTGTCTCTTAAATAAATTAATAGGTCTGGAGCTCCTGCTTCAGTAAGTGAAAATTAGTGGGAGGAGAGGCGAGCAAAAAAACTGCTAGATCTGGAGTCTTACTATTTATTTCCTGATACTTGGACACCTCTCCTCTGATTGGCTAGCAGCAATGCGACTCTACCATTGACTCTGTTTGCTTTGCAACGTTGATGCTTTATCTCCACAAATAACACAAGCATAAGGGAGTTCTACCGTGTTGTGTTGCTGCTAATGCTAAAGTTTAGCTTCTGCTAGGTGAGGCGAGGCGTTCTCAGCTGTTTCCTGGACCAACAGCCTTCCCTGTTGTGAGTCAAGATGGGAGAGTCTCTGAATGTTAAGTGACACGTGACCAGTGTAGCTGGTGGAAAAAATTCACCATTTGATGTCACGGACAACAAAAGATGTTTGGATCTAGAAAACGGTGACCGGTGTTCAGCGATCTCTCGTTTCCTACGGCAATGCGGGTTTCCGATCCCAGCAGAAGCGTCTCAATAAGGAAGATAACTGAGAGGGAAGGAGAGAGTTCTGTGATCGTGTTCACGTTCAAAACCTAGCTTGTTCTTTAGATTCACTAAAGTAGCTTTAGTTGATATCTTCTCAAAGATTTCACACCTTATTCAGTTTCACCAGTAGGTGGCACTAACACAACATAGTATTTAATTAGATATTCAGTTTTTAACAATATAATCGTACAAAAAGAGAACAAATGGACACATTTTACTGCAACAGCAAAGTCAACTGTGAGTTTATGTAAATTAGGGAGGGAGAGAGAGGGAAAAGGAGATCCAGTACCTTCTAGCATGCTAGCTACGTGTTTGCTGTAGCAGGGATGCTACCAGCCAGCGCGTAAGGATATAAGAAGAAAGCTGACCAAGAGAGGCTCTGACTTTGGGAACCAGCTTGTCTGGGGCACAGATGATGATCTCAGACTTATCTTCATTCAGCTGTAGAAAGCTCCCAGCCATCCAGGTTTTGATAGTCTAAGCAGGTGTGTAACAGCTGCAGCTTAGACATCTCGTGGGGCTTAAAGGAGATGTACGGTTGGATGTCATCTGTGTAAAGATAGTAGGAGATTCCTTTGAAGGAGATCAGGATGTGCTGAAGAGGAAGCAGATAGAGGAGGAAGAGTATGGGCCCCAGCACAGAACCTTGTGGGACACCATGAGAGAGGGAGATAGTAGAGGACCTAAACTTGGAGACGGCCTCAGAGAAGGAACGCTCAGACAGATAAGAGGACATCCACTCCAGAGCAGATCCTGATAGGCCTACCCAGTCTCTCAGCTTCTCCAGTAGCAGGTGATGGTCAACAGTGTCAAAGGCTGAAGTCAGGTCCAGCAAGACCATAACAGAACAGTGCCCTGCAGAACTGTGAGTCAGAACCCACAAACTTTTTCAAGATCTTGGAGATGAACGGAAGTTTAGAGATGGGTCTGAAGCTGCTATGAAGAGCAAGAGAAAGAAAGAAGAGCAGGAGCGAGCACAGAGGCAGCAGAAGAGTCATGTTGCTGTTAGCTTACCAGAGGAGAGACATTTTCATATCCTGAATAATAATGAGGGAAACCTGAATAACCAGACATTTTCCATCCCCCACTCCTCAGACATCCTTCTACCCCCTGAAACAGGAGCATCAGAGCCTTTTTAACAGAAAGCTACTCCCAAGACAGACATTCATTCATTCATACTAGAGACCGCTGCAGATCTGTTGAAAAATAACAAGTGAATGAAATCTTTAATGATTCGTTTGAATTTAAATGCATCCGTCAAACACAGTTTATGCTAGGCACTTGTTCTACAGCAGGTGGTGCAATTTCTGCATTGGTTTCACATTTCCTAAAGTAGAGCAGCATGATAGCGATGCACTTGTATGTTATGTTGGAAGCAGCCCTAAAGCGATAAACTGAAGTCATGTTGTGAAAAAGCTTGACAGGAGGCGTGTATAATGTTGCGGCTGACCTCTCTGCACACATCTTATCGTCTTTGTCAGGTTTCTGCCTTAACGATTGTTTAAATGAACGTCTGACTTCTAAAAGAGGCAAAAAAGTTACAGCAGATTAATTCAGTCGAGGTTCCTTTAATCTGCTCCTTACTGGTATCTCCTCTGTATTTCATTACACCATCAGCCTGTCGGGGAGGGTTAAAAATTACCTTTGTCATTTTCTTATCCGGCTCTGAAGCTTTTTCCACTTCGTTATTCACCTTTGAACTCTACAAAATTGCATATTCTCACAGACAGCCTTGGTTAACAAGTAATTAATGATGAAAGTTGAGGAAACAAGCAAAGCAGGGACTTTTTTGCTAAAAGCGTTGCTGTTATTTGCCACCTTACTCTACAAATATCATCTTGAACCAAGAAGGCGAAGGAAGCTATTAAAATGAGCCTTAAACTATTTTCTGAGCATGAAAAAACAAATATTAAAGATTAAATAGCAATAGAATAGAATAATAAGCAGTGTCAGATCAAAATGTTCACTTTTTTTTACTTTTTCATAAATGACCAGCTGTTAATTCTTAAAATGTGTTATCTAGCTAATAATCAGCCTGTTACTGTGACAGATGGAGCTGACTGTTCAACATTCTGTCAGAGTTGGTCATTATTTGGACTGCACAGGCCACAGATGATCAATATATTTCAGTTGAACGTTTGAGTCATAACAGACAGTAAACGATGTCCAGTCAAAAAACCAAAGTACAGTCAGATAAATTCAGTCTTCAGGTGATGTTGTAAGCAATGAGTAACCAGGTTTATCTGTTGTGCTTAGCAGATGTTAAGTTCCTGCAATGAGATTCACCGTCTCATAACAAGGTGTTATCATGGGTACAGTTTTATATATTTTTTAAATTCATTATCATCTCACCGTGATTAACAGCTTGGTGGCCTTGTTGTTCTGTTTGTAGGGAGGGAAGGAGTACGTGATGCGGGCACACTTCGGCCTGCCCAGCGTAGAGAGCGATGAGATGGAGGCAAAGAGACCAATCACAGTTAATTTTGAGATCCCTTATTTCACTGTGTCTGGGATCCAGGTGAGGTTCACACCTGTTGCACAGATTGACTTTAGTTTATCTGTATAGAACAACCTGTTAAAGATTAAACTGACCTAAGCGCATGACTGAAAATGATTGTAATTTACTTAGTCACACTTCCAGGAAGTTTCAGTGTAAGATCTTCTATGTTTTCACTGCTTGTTCCTTTGGTTTTGTGTTTAATGTCTATTCAATCAGGACAAATGGACATGTGTGACATGTACTGTTTGAAACCACTTATATGTTTTTCGTATGATCACCATCCTGTGAGTCAAGTAATTCCTGATAAACGGTTTAAAGCTTTAGTGTACCTTGAAGAAAATTATATCGCATTACAATCTGTTTTGTTTTCAGAAAAGATGGCATTACATCCATTTTGGTCAGACGTAGCAGTAGATGTACATCCACAACAAAATTTCTAAAAAACTTCATGGAAATTAGTGAAATCATTTGCTTACAAACTACTGACGTTGATACCAACAGTTATCAGCAAAATTTAAAGCAAAAATGTTGCAGAAGCCTTTGGAGTATAAGTTGTGAAGGACTCTCGGTGCCTACCACACTTAGCTTATTCTCTGTGGAATAGGTTCAGTTATGTAAAGGATGGGTAGTTTACATCTTACTTATGAACCATAAAATGTGAGATTCCATAGAAATATGAAATATCAATCTGATGGATCTTTGAATATTTTAACCAGAAGATCGGAAATTTTTATTGCAGGGATTAAGCGACACTTCGTATTAACTCCAAGCTTTGGAGTCTATGATTCAGAAAAGCACTGTGCAAGTGCGGATCATTAATCACTTATCAGATTTTGTTGACACTGTTAGACACTCAAAGGTGGGGAAAAAAAGCTGTTGTGTATTTTCATGGTTTGTTCAGATCATCTAATTTGATCAAATTCTATAGAGAAGAAATTAATCTTTCAGTGAAATCCATTATCATCTCATTTGGAGATGCATACATTTCTGTTTACGTCAGCTGCAAGGGAGTGTGAGTGCTGCAGAATCGCTGCGCACAAGTAACTGTTGATGTCAGTACCATTAAGATAAATGAGCTTAACAAACTGTGTGTATTAGTGTGTGAAAATCAATGGTGTAATTATATCTACCATGTTTAATTTTACTAGGTTCGCTACCTGAAGATCATAGAAAAAAGTGGATACCAGGCGTTGCCGTGGGTGCGCTACATCACACAAAGTGGAGGTGAGGTGATAAGGCACTGGAATAAAACACATCTAAACACACACACACACACACACACACACACACACACACACACCCAAGGCTGGTTGCCCACTTGGAATTGGCTTCATGAATATGCATCAGTAAGATAATTAACATCATTAGCTTAGCTTATTAGAAGATCTGCTTTTTGCTCACGTTTGTTTTGCTTCTCTCCCAGAAAAAGAGCACAAAAAAAAGCTTAAAAAGTTTTAAAACAAATTGAAATAAAGTTTCCTCCCATAAAAAGTTATGAGTTATGACAAATCTGTATTGCCAGCGCTGCACTGAGCTGCTTTATCAGCTTTTTGATCGAGTTTATGTTCCTTAAAAGCTGGAAGGTTTGAAATCCGAGCCATTAGCCTCTATGGTTACCCTGATGTTATACCTGGTGTTTTTCCTTAGAGATCAGAGTCTGAATGTCTTTCTGCATCAATATTTACCACAGTGTCCTGGAATGAACTCAGCCAAATAACATTCATCATATCTGGTGCCTGCTGGGTTCTTTCACCGCGAGCTGTGCCATCCAGGTTTAGAAGTGCAGGCAAAGCTGGTTAGAAACTTCCCTAACTGTCTGGGTTTTCTGCAGAACACAACAGAAATTGCAGTTAAATTTGTTTTGCTAAGCTAACACGTGGAATGCCGCCCTGACAACACACCCACACCTAGGGCACTGCAATGTTGTACGAGCCTAATGGCTCCAAAAATGCAAAAATAGAGATGATAAGGCAACTGAGACTGAATTCCTTTGTTTTTAGGACAGCCAGGAATTTTTTAAACTGCAAAAAACAACCTGACTCCATTGCATCAGTTATATTCATTACCTAGCTTTAATCAGGCACCAGTCAGGAATGCAGGGGTTAAATAATGCCACAGAGAGCTTAAGAGCTCCCAGGGTGGCACTCTGCAAATGCCAAGGCCCCTGTCTCCTATCAGCCTGCTGCAACATCAGCAAGGAGGCATAGGAGAAGGAGTGTGATGAGGAGGAGGAGGGCAAAAGTTCAGTCTGGGTAAAATTGAGAAGAGTGATGAAATCATGGTGACTGAAGAGAAGACTGCTGCCACCGGCAACACAGGGATGGAGGACAAGATCTAATTTCACTCACCACTACTTTCTACTGATTGAATAATGCACTGATACTGTAGACTGGAGTACTGCCTTATTAATGACTGAATGCTTGTCCAGCACAGAGTCATAACATCTCTAAACCCGCAGTTTCAAAAGGCTGCAGCTGTGGGTGCAAAAACATGAACATTTTGGTTTGAATTCCACTGAATTTGTACATAAAATAAAAATACATTTTACATTTCTGACTACTTCTACATGATGAACTAAATTATCACCATGCAAGATATCTTATTGCAGTTTAGACACTAAATGTCTTAATATTTTTGCTAATAATCATATTTTCATGTAAAATTTACTAAATTTACACTACTAGTCAAGGCCCAGATGGTTAAAGAGATAATGTGTAGTTTTTACCATTAATCCCTGGAAATATCCATCGAAATGATGTTGAAAAGGAGTTAACTGATGCCCAGTTGTTGGAAATTATTGGCGGCTTCGTAACATAACCGTAAAATTTGGGTCTAAAATACATGGAAGCGGGTCTAATCTCTGGGGGTTTTCTTTCTGTGTTATGGTGGTGGCAAAAGCCAGCGCGGGGGAGGGGGGTGGGGTGTACCGTCCAGAGCCGAGCCCAACTCCACAGCTGTCAGAGCTGCATGTTCAGGTTATTTTCCCTGTTTTATGTTCCCACACACAGCGCTGCTAGAGCCGATAATAATGGAACCGTAGGTGAGCCCGGGACAGAGAGAGAGAGAGAATGTAGTTGGGTAGGGGAGAGAGAGACTCCTCCCACATCGGAGCAGGTTCAGGCTGATTTCTAAAGCTCGGTTTATGCTTCATCAGCGCGAGTGCGGAGTCGCGCACTTTGGTTGACTTGAAAGCTCAACTTCTCTTAAAAATGGTTTGAATGTTTCTGACGGCACACGTTAGGTTCAAACAAGCTAACGTGTCAGAATGCGTGCGTGTCTCACGGAACTGACGTTTTAGTGAGGAAAAACTATCGGACGGCTTCGAAAAACGTGCAGCCAGCCTGCAGGGAAAACTGTGTGCATTTTTTTATTTAATACATTTAAAAGCCATTTCTACCTACAGATTTCCTCTGTGCATATTTGGAGTAGAACATGTTTTCATAAAGCTCCTCTAGATAAAAATCACAAGTTGCTTCACAAACACACAAAAAAGATAATAATGGGAGAAAATATTAATAGCTTTAACTGTTTTTATTGTAAGAGTAAATATTAATGTGAATGATTTGTTGTACTAGATTAGAATCTAGACCATCTTTTCAGTGAATCTACAGGGTGACTTGGCAGGCTACTGTTGGACCTTTGTTTGCAGAAAATGGTGAATTGAACCGAAATCGCAATTTCTGCTACAAAAATTGCAATTCGATCTTTTCCTAAAATTGTTCAGCCCTACTCTGCATATACTGAGTTGTAACAAATGGTTACAAAACTTATTTATTGCCCTTGTTGTTTTATACATTTACCTCTTCACTCGTTGCCAGTGATGTAAGGGAGTCTGATGTGCTTGTCATTTTGCTGGAGGTTGAACAATCTGACAAAATACTCGAAAGTAGGGATTTTTGATCCTAGCGGCCATCCGGTCTTACTCGAACACAAAAATACTGCTTGCTTGCAATGACTTGGGTGTTTACTGCCCCCTATCGCCAAGGAAAATACACACTGTCACTTTAAACATCAGAGTGGATGGATAAATCCCTGACTCAGCCGGTATTTTTTGTTTGTTTTGTTTGCTTACATGTCTCGCTCACTGAGAAGCTGTATATGTGTATTGATCACTCAGAGTTGCATATGTTGTTAAAGGGGTGCTTTACTCTACTGTCGCTACATGTTTGCTTAGTATGGGGATCACTGCAAAGTCAGTGATGCGATGAAATCTGCTGGGTTTCCTTACATCAGATATTTTTAACTAACTGGCATGTTGAACTGAACTCAGTGGTTCAGTTGGAGTGTTTACCTTTAAATGTGCCTTGAGACAACTGTTGTTGTGATTTGGTGCTATATAAATAAACTGAATTGAATCGATTATGCATGTTGAACACGAACATTGTCTCCAGCCCCCATCTCCTGTTTTAGTTGCAGGAAGGAAAGCAATGAGAAAACAACCGTGATTGTGGGAGGCGGTTGTTGATTCAGCAGCCAGGAGAAAGCAGAGTCCATCTCTGCTAGCAGAAGCTAGCCATTAGCAACTCCAGGACCCATTTGGACTTGTGTTATCGGTTGCATTTTTTCCAAGAAAGAAGAGTGAATGAAGGCAGTGGAAGAGTCACATTGCTGTTAGCCAGTCAGAGACCAGAAGTTTACATATCAGGAAATAATGAGTAAGAGTGGTAATCCTGTGGTTTTCTGCGTCCCACTCCTCTGGCAAACTTCTACCTCCTGAAACTGGAACGCCAGAGGTATTTTTTTTCCCCACAGAAAAGACTCCCAAGACATTCAACTGCAAAAGAGACCACAGCAGAAAACTAGTGCCAATGAGACATACATTTGTCACACATGACTTGTTGTTTGAGTTAATTTGTCCTTCTCCTGGTTGCAAGTTCTTCGATGACACTATTAGCACATTGCTGCACTGTTACTGAAAAATTTGTGCAGCGATAATTATCTAGAGGCAGTTTTAGCCCTTCTGGTCTGGCTCATTAAAGATTGTGAAACAATGTGACATTTAGATTTCATTTTGGAACCATCCTTCAGGAACTTCATTTGAACATCATCACATACTGAGTGTAGTAAAGGTTAGTGAAGTGATTTATTAAAACGCACTTACAGCTTAAATTTGTGCAAATCTTGTTTAGGGATTTAATAGTTCTCCTAATGGCACTGATGAGAAGAACAAAGCTGTGTGTTAATGCTCCGACGTTACATTTCTTGGCAGATTACCAGCTCCGGACAAACTAAAGGGCACCGATGCTGCTAGACGGATGGGTGTTTTCTCCTTCGGCCCGTCTTCGTCTCTATTCCCTCCATTTGTCCAGCTCAGCGTCTGCAGCAGACAGCTGAGGACAGGTGTAGGCGAGCAGATGACATCTTCCTCCACCATGAATGGTTACTGGAAATCGTCTTGTCTGTTACAAAACTCCACCAGGAACGGCTGTTGCATCACTCGTCGTGACGTGTGTTTTTAAGAGCTGCCGAGGGCTCCAGTAAAACATCTTTATGACAGGAGCCCCCAGCTGACACCATCTGGTTGGTGGCAACTGTCTTCCTCCGTCCAAATTCATTTCCGACACATTTTTAGAGAACATTTTGACTACAAGCTTCCATTTGAGAAATTATTTATATCAGTAGCTACCATGGGTTTTATCAAGAGGAGATGAATATGTCAGATTAACGATTTGGTAAATTAGAAATGTGCCGCACATCCCCTCCCCTTTCTGTTGAACATTATGCGTAGCTTTATGGCCTGCAACCGCCGCCTTAAGTCGGCCAGCGTATTAAACTGTCAAGAGTTCCTCGTAATCTTTGTCATTTCCAACTCCTTCACTGTGATGCTTTTTGTCGCTGATGCTGATTTCCATCCCGTTCAAAGACTTTTTATCCTCCAAAAACCTTCGTACAAGTTGAGTCCTAAAGTGGCTGCAGTGGCCGTTGGCTGTGTGAACACAATCCCCAGAGCGCTGAAACCAACACCAGCAACCAGGTCAATGATTAATAAGGCACAGTGTTGTCAGGGGCATCAACGGTGTAAGATAAAACCCGAGGCTCGTGGTTCTGGTCCAGAACTCAGCTTTGAGGCAGGGACTTTAAACTAATAAGGTGCTGATTTGGTTTAAGTGTTTAGATTTTTTTAGTTGTTGGTTCTCTTTAGATTGAAGCTTCACAGAAGAACAAATGAGAGTTAAAATGGTTCAAGTGTTAAGGGGGAATGGTTAAAGGATAAATGAATAATACACTTATTTTTTCTTTTGATTGCTGCAGCTTTCTGTATTTTCTTGTACCAGTTTGTGATCAACTTAGCCTTTTTTATACATTCAGCTGCCCTGAGAAAAACGTGCTTCTATACCGTGCTTTTAAAACTCTTTATAATCTTTTGTCTTGTCTTTTGAGGGGATCAGTTTTGACATGTGGGGATGTTTTTACTTGCATTTCATTTATTTATCAATTACCATAGGAAACAAAGGGATATATTTGGAAATAAACATGCTTTGTCTCTTATTTTGAGGTTTCCTTGTTTGTTTATTTATTTATTTTTGCATGTCTGTGTTTGTTAAAGGTCTCCACTCATTTTTAAAACACATTTACAGTGGCCTCTTCTTTGAATGGATGCCTTGGGAGTTGATTTTGTTTGCTCTTCTTTCTTGGATAAAGATGTGTTATCTCTACAAACACTAAAGCCTTGAATGTGGAATGGATGTTGTTCAGTTTTCCATGCGGCTTCTGGACAGACTCGTTCACACAGACATGGACGTAATTTTGGGGGAGGACAGGGGGGACATGTCCCCCCCCCCCCCCCCCCCCCCCCCCACTTTTTCCAAAGTCAAGTTTTGACCCCTGCACTTTTTACCATCCAAAAACAATATTACGCTATATTAAATTGACACTGGTTGAGCTCTAGGACCAAGCAGAAAGAGACAGTTTGTGTTGAAGCCTGTTTCCCATTAGAACATACTGTAAAGATACACCCCCCCCCCCCCCCCCCGTGTCCCCCCACTTCTAAAGTGAAAATTACGCCCATGCACACAGACTGTGGTCCCTAACTCTAACATCTACAGAGTTCTGCTCTCACAGGAGTACTGAATGATTAGAAATTTGACAGAATACATTTAAAATATAATCAAAATCTGGCAAAAAATAATGTGACTTATTTAGAAATGAAATCTACCAGATGCGCCTCGCTGAAACAAGTTTCATTTACTGTCCAGCTTCATGATGATTCACATTCAGCATCCGGGAAAACACCTTTCGGAAACTTGCTGGAGCTCCACATCTGGAAGCGCACTGCATCCAGCCAGTTGGAATGTTCTGATTGGACTAAATGATCTTTGGTCAGTGTGGAAGCTGTGCGAAAACTTCCACATCTGTTCCATTTTTGATTCGAACAAAGCTTAACCCGATCATCATCTGCCACGTTTTGGAGTTAGCTTCTACTATCCGAGACATGCTCTGATCTCTCCTGACTACAAAATCAACACAGCTTCCACGGTCACAAATAAAGGCGGGCTGGGTCATGAATGCTAATTTCACCTGTGACATAGAGACTGGCGTTTTCTGACCTTATCAATTCCCTGTCCATTTCCTGTCTGTGACTAATGCAGGGTTAGAATTAACTTGAATAATGCTTGTTTTTCGCCTCTAAATAGTCAGAATCATGACCCGCATCATCTAAAACTCATCTTAGTTGTCATGATCTATAAAGTTTGGAGACCTGGGGTTATTGACATTTGGAGCCAAATTGTAACTGATTGGAGACAACAAATAATTTAAATCAGGTGAAACTTTAGAACAAATCGTGACTTTGAGAATAGGTTGTAAAGACAACTTGTAGAAATGGCACTCATTTAATCAATTCAATGTGATTTAATCTATAAAATGTATTCCCATTCAATTTTCAGCCCAGTGATCCAAAAAAGCATTATCATAATATCAAATATAAAATTCCAAAAAGAAAAAAATACATGAAAAAAGTCAAATGCTCGAGAGTTGGTTTGAGATTTACATTCATGCGCATGGTCTTATAGGTGTTACTGACTGAATTATTGTTTTAATTTTAATCACTGAGTTTTTCATGCAGGATGAGGATAAAAACAACAGTCTCCTACACCTATCTCCTGCATTAGCGTCTGATAGAAAATTGACGGTGAAACTCTAGGATTTGAAAAGCCTGACAGATCTACGTCACACTGTCACTTGACATTCATGAACTCACCCATTTGACTCAACAGGGAGGGCTGTTGTTTGTTTAGCATCCAGGAAACGGCAGAAAACGTCTCGGCTAGTAGAAGCTAACCGTTAGCATTAGCAGCTCCACCACACAGAAGAACTCCAGACTTGTCTTGTTTGTAGAGCTCAAACCTTAAAGTTGCAGAACGAACAAAGTTAGTGGTAGAGTCATGTTGCTGTTATCCAATCAGAGGAGAGGTGCCCATATATCAGGAAGTAGGACTCCAAATCCTGTTGTCAGAAGCACACGTTTAAATGAGAAGCCTACAGTGTTTGTTTTTTTCCTTCAGCACAAAATACAGGAAATAAATTTTAAAAGCTGTTGTGTCTTATACACACGTCAGCAGAATCTATTTACAAGACTTTTTAAACTTCACTAATTAGCAATAAAAAAGAACAAAATGTAGAATTATTACTTTTATAACAAACACCTGAGGCTGTTAATCTTGACCTTCAGATCCATTAAATAAGTAGTCCAAATGCATAGTTGCACCACGTCTACTGCTTTCCACATCCACTGCTATTGATTTCCTGCAAAGCCCTGAGGTATGAAATAACTGAAGTGTGGGCAGAAATAAATGCTGTAATGCAAAGAACAGGAACATGCAAGTCTAACTATGACTACAATCAAGTGATTTCCCTTGATATATAATATTTTACAAGATCCTGTATTTTCCTTGTTAAAATTCAAATGATACATGTGACTTTTAAAAATTATTACTTTTTAAAACTTATAATAGTTTTAATAGTTATAACAGTCCTAAGGTCGCCGCTGTCAGTGAGCCCCAGGGCAGCTGTGGCTACATCGTAGCTCGTTCCCATCCATGTGTGAATGTGTGTGTGAATGGATGAATGACGCACTGTAGTGTAAAGCGCTTTGGAGTCCTCTGACTCTGAAAGGCGCAATACAAGTGTGGGTCATTTATCATTTATTTTTAAAAAATCACGTTCATGAAGTTCTTCACACTAAATCTCACATAAAGCCATGTCAGCTGTTTTACTCTTGGCAGTCCCCTAGAATGAGCCATTTCGGGGCTCTGTCACTTTAAGAAAACAAGCTATGGATGGCCACGTCCACCAGCCCTTGCTCAAGCTGTTATTGGCTGAGAAGCTCCTATATCTAAAAAGGGCTCGGAGTAGCGCTGTTGTAGCCTGGCCTGCCAGACTCGTCCTCTGTTTAATTCTGCACAAAGAGTCTGGTAACTCACAGGCAGAGAGGCACATGAGGGGCGCGACTAGCCAGCTCAAAAATAACCAATCAGAAAAAAAAAAGACAGAAATGCCGAATGTACCACGCAACGCTGTAGTTTTTTAGCTGTAGTCAAAATGGCATCTGGCAATGTGGCTACATCATAGCTCATTCCCATCCGTGTGTGAATGTGTGTGTGAATGGATGAATGATGCACTGTAGTATATATATATATATATATATATATATATATATATATATATATATATATATATATATATATATGTTTTAGAAGAAAGCTTTTTAGCGCGTCTATTTGTTGTGTCTTTAAAGACGTGTTCAAGTCATTTAGAACAGAGGAAAGAGCCGTGGCGAACTCCGCTTCAGTCGCCATGTTCATGACAAACTCGGCGTGGCGGTGTGGGACGTACGCTACTCAGCACTGATTGGCTCGGTTAGGATTCTCACGGGGTGGGGTTATTTGAATAGGAGAGTTCTCAGACCCTTTCTCTGTGCAGAATTAAACAGAGGAGGAGTCTGGCAGGCCAGGCTAGCGCTGCTGCTCCTCCAGCCTGGAGATGTGAGGGGGAATTATATATTTTTTTAAATCTTTGTCTGTGATGTCACAAATGAGGACTTTTTGAAACGGCTCGTATTGAGCACGAGTCTTAAAATAAACAACAAAAAATGGATGGATGGGTTTTTCACACTTGGAGTGTTTATAGAGGCGGTAGAGACCCACATGGCAGCACAAAAAGATGCAAGAGACAGGTTCTGCATAAAATGTCACGTTGAAATTCAGCATTAGATGCTTTGACTCTAATAATTCTGCTCTCAGTGAGAAAGCAAATACATATTTTCTTCAAATTCTTCATATTAGATTATCCCATATTAATCACCTTGTGGAAGCCTCTTTGGCATCACTTCCAATCCTGGTGAGCAGATTAGCGCACCTGGCATTGGCAGCTCGTTCTCTCTTCCTGGCAGAGCCACTTGAGTTGCATCGGAGGGAAGAGATGAGCCTCTCAAAAGCAGCCAGATAAATGTTTTCCTCTGGCATTTCTCTATTAATGTGCATTCATCCTACTGTCTAGATATTTTCTTTTCTAAACACCTATCAAAATGAGACTCTTCCTCTATCGTGCACCCTAGGGATGTTCTAGGAAAACCTAGCGTTGCCTTCAACTTGCTGGATTGATTAGTATTGGCAGCGGTAAGTGTACATACTGCAAATAGTTTTTGATTAAAAAATAAAAATTCGAAATCTAAAGATTTTGGAGCCATTGTATCTCACCAGCATCATCTTTTGTAACTAAGTCAAATGTAATGTTAAATATCGTTTCCTTTCTTGGTTTCTTGCTCCTCTATGGCGTAGTGAACGCCAGAACCTTCATAAATATTTTTAAGCCTTAATCCTGTTCCATCATGCATGTCTACTGGGAATTCCTATATGACTTTTTTTTTTTCTTTTATTGGTTCTGCAATGAACTATGAAATACCAGATCCTGAGTGTCCTAAACTCCAGCTAAGCAAATAATTTTACCGGGGGTGTGGGGCTTCAGTCAGATTCCAAACACACATCATGGGTGTTCAGAGCAAAGAGATAAGATGATAACTGCACCAATATGCACACACAATAATAAATGCAGTCACGTTTGGCCAGACACCATACACGGTGAGCGAGCCTGGGTGCAAACCCGATGGGAGCCCCCAAGTGTTACGACCTGGCTCACTGGGTCATAACAAAAGTAGAGACACAGCAAAAAGTCAATAAAATGTGATTTATTGAGCCTAAAGTAACCCAAATTTACCTGTAGCAAAACAATGTTATAAAAAAGAGGCACAGACTGAACATAAACATGGCAGCATACCTGTAGGGAGAGCAGATGTTAGATTGACTCCAGGTTTTAAATAGACACTCCAGGTCCTCAGGTGTTCTACATTACTAATCAGCCAGGTGTGTGAGGTAGAATTCCCTGATCAGCCACAAACTCATGGGGTCATAACACACTTCTCTCTCCTTCATTATGACCTGCCTCTGTTCTTTGCTCACCTTTTTTCTGGCCACTGTGGATACAGTGTACTGTTGCTCATCTTTGACTTTAGAGTAAAAATGCATCATATGCAAAGTTCTTTTGTGTGTCTCAGGAGGAAAAAAAGAAATGTGGTGCTGGCACATACCAGCCGCTACTGATCATTGCCTTGTGCATTGTGCTTCAGTTTGTTGTCCTTCACACCAACAATGGTTGACTGTGTGACTCCTTTTGTCTCAAAGCAACAAAATGTGTTTGTGCACGATAAGGGGTGTGGCACAAATGTATTTCCTTTTTTTTGTCAGATGATGGGAGATAAGAGACAAACCCTGAAATATTTCACAAACCTTAAAAAATGAACACAGCTTAAAAAAGCTTTGTTACATAAAAACTGAAAACACATACAATTAATGTAACAGAACAGTTTAGTGCAAAAACCATTAAATGGACACTGTGCACTCTAGCTAGCTTGCTCAATTTAGAATTGGGATTTTTAATGAATAAATATAATTTACCACTGAAAATCCCTTAAAAATTAAGTGGCTGGATGCTTTCAGAAATGTGGTGCTTCTAACTTAAAATGTCTAATGAGAAATGAGAGCATGAATAAATGAGCTGTAGGTTTGTGCAGGACATCATTAAACTATTTCATGAAGTAATGTACTTTCTTAGGGTTCGGCCTCCTACTTAAGCCTAATTTATACTTCTCTGTCAGCTCCACGAGGGAGACATGCACGGAAGGAGACGTTTTGCTCTCTGACTTCTCAGGAGTGTTGCAAAGCAAATTCCCCGCCAGGACAACAGAGGGTGTGGCGCAGTTCAGTGGTATCCTGTCAAGTATCCGGTCCACGTTAGTGTGTTTATATTGTGTGTGTGTGTGTGTGTGTGTGGTTTTTTTTTTTTTTTTTTGTATTTGAGACTTTTTAACACGGACAAATTAGTCCCTCATTCTCCTAAACCTCTTCATGCGCTAGCCACCTCTAAACCTACATTTTCCGTCCTTTCTGTCAACGAATAAAACGCTTCCTGCTCATCTTTTCACTCCTCCAGTCATGGGATAATAAAACATTCATGTTTTTAGAGTTTTTCCGCGAGTTATTCTTCAAGCTGCTCCGCGTCTGCTGATAGATATCCTCGGCTCTCACAAGCTTGTGTTCTCGGTCTCGATGGACGGATGTTTAGAAAAGAGAGCTCGGCTACGTCCGTCCTTGCGAGGGCTCTTCAGCAGGCTCGCAAGGATGGATAATGGTGTTGCGTGTGTCCATCCCGACACAGACGAAGAAGTGCATATTAGGCTTTAGTCTGTTTCCTGCTAATCCCAATTCTTTACCACAACTGTCCAAAAATCTGTAGGTAGGCTGTAGTGTATTTGTTTTGGTTGTGTTGTTAGTGGCATTTCTCATGAACCCCAGGATAGATTCCATTGAAATTTCAGACAATAGTCACACAATCTACAATTAATTTAAATTCAAAATGGCCACCGTGGCAAATCTTATAGCTACGTATAACTTAGCCAGTGCTAAAGATATGTAGCTAAAAATTCAGCTCTGATAAATGGCCAAACACAACACTGACACACTCGGCTAGGATCTGGATGCTGATTGGCCAGTTTACCCCATTGGCTCTATGACACTGCCTAAAACCAGAAACTCTGAGCACAGTATCCAGAAACCTCAGTAAACTATCCACGGATCTGATCTGGCATTCTTTGAAAGTTTGGATATTCCCAGTTCATCCTGAAATGTTATATGTGAGCTCCATTGTTCTTCTGTGTTGTTTTCCTGTCATCCAACAAGGACATTTGCAGTGGCTCAGGCTAGCCTTAGCTGCAGCTAAGGCTAGCATTAGCAGTGACTCAGGCTAGTGTTAGCAGTAGCGCAGGCTAGTGTTAGCAGAAGCTCAGGCTAGGGTTAGCAGATGCTCAGGCTAGGGTTAGTAGCTTGGGCTAGCATTGCAGTAGATCAGGCTAGCACTGATCTGCAGTTAGCATGACCGTGACCAATGTTTTTATATCGCAAACGTTGAAGCGGATTGGGACATACAAATGTAATAAGTGTGTCTAAACTTTTGATGTATTAAATCAGCTTTTCTCAAATTGACCCGTTTTGACTACAACACAGGAAAACAGGTCGGAGATGACAGAATTTCTGGTACATTTGATACAAGCTGAGTATATTCAAAAACAAGGCAAATGCTGTTTTAAATTCTAAAACAAGTAAGATTGCTGAAAGGCAGAAGGTAATACCATACCAGTAATATTAGACGTTCAGTTTGGATCAAATAGTTACTGGTTTATTTTATTTATTTATTTATTTTGTGGCCCGGTGGCAATATGGTGTGTAGCAGACACTTTATTCCAAAGTTAACGCTCAACGTTTAAGTAATAGATGTGAGCAATGCTGCTTTTGATAATATCAACAATGAACTGAAATGGGAGAAATAAGAGATTTTGTTCTTCACTTCCAGACCCAGGGTGATCTTCATTTTTACTATTATTCCACAAAGAAATTGGCTGCAATGCCACAAAAACAATGATGAACACAGATTTAAGGAAAACATTTGCTTTTCAGGTCAGGTAATTTATGCACACAAAACAAATGATGCCTACATACATGCTGTGCCGTTAAAACAGGCCAAATGTCCAACAATCAGGTTGACTTCTGTTCTACGTGTTAACAGTCACTCGTGCCAATCAGGACTTTAAATTTCTCTCAACAAAGTTGTATTTTGTTTTTTGTTTGTTTGTTTAGCATGAACTTAATTTAAAATGAAACTGTGACAACGGAGATTAACTGGTTTAAAAATATCCAAATCAATATATTCATGTGAGTGTGTGCAAACAAACAGAACTAAAAAGAACAGTTTACAATCATTGATCAGATGTGTGGTCCAAGGTCACTTTGAGAGAACAGATCACTGATAACTAACAACCCTCGTTATGCAAAATGTGCTGCCTGCATATAAAAAGAACCATTAAATACCCTCAAGTTACCCTTAAGTTTATTGACAGTTGTTAGGTTAATAAAACATAGTTAATAACTGATCACTCAGTTTTATTTTGTTAATTAGCAAAGTGCTGAACTAGATCTGAGATCAAATCTGTGTTTATCCTTTCTGAATATCCTGAATGACCTTAAATATCATTTCATTTTTAATATTAAAAATTAGATAAATCTGTGCTTTTAAGTTGATGCTCAACCTGTATCCCACCACAATTTTTAGGTTTTGAGAGAATCCGAACATAAATTAACATAAATAAAATACCTATTTTAACACTTTTATCTTTACTTCGTCAGTTTTCTTCCCAATTTAAATTTCTTGTGTCTACAGCCAAAACAAACCATGAAGTAAATGCATTTCATGCACAATTTAACCCAGTGAGCCATGTGATATATGATTGGTTATCATTTTTCACACTTGGGTATAAACTTCACTCAGTCAGGGACCAAAGTCACTCATATGAGGTGTGCCAAGCTGGAGGCGGTCTCCCTGCGACCGTGGCGGTCGATGTGTCCCGACACGGTGAAGATGTTCAGGACTCGATCTACGAGCCTTCGTCCGTGCCTCGTCCTCTGAAGTAGCACAACCACAACGAAGTATATCCCAACACCCACAACGGCTGTCCCCCCTCCTGCCAGTAGAACCACCCCGGAGATGTACATGTCATTGAGAGCTTGGCCGGGCTTTGGCATGTGGTTAGCCAGGGCCAATCGAAGGAGCACCCCTCCACAAATCAGCAGTGACAGCCCTGTGATTAAAACCACTAAAATGTCAGACAGCCCCCCGCTCTTTAGCATGTCTATCTGCCGCCGGCTTCGAATGCAATTCATGTCTTGCACAGCTGAGCTGAGCAGCTGTTTGAGCAGGACCCCCAGAGCCAGCAGACACAGAGCCGTCCCAGCGCCCAGCCGCCATTCGCTCGATAGGCTGGTGGTGGTGGAGAGAAGTCCAACGCCGCCGAGTCCACAGCCCAGGATTAGGAGCACTGCAATACAATAGCAGAGCAAAGATTTTCCAGGATCTCTGAACCACCACAGCTCCACCTGCTCCTCCAGGATGCTGTGCTGGATCTGGGCTGGGTTCGCTGGACCATTAAGGCTCAGATCAGGGCCTCTGGCTCCATTCAGCGGGGGAAAGTCGTCCAACTCTGGCATCCTGCTCCCAGTCCCAGCCTGCAGCTCTTATCCAACTTCTTTATTGTGAGCAAAAGATGTTTGTAGATTTCCTCAATATCCTCACTGAAGAAATCTCAATAGTGGCCGGAGTTGGAGGAAACCATTTTACCAAATAATTTAAAAGACTTGACTAAGCCCAGAATGTTTCGATTTCCTTTATCCTGGTGTCTCTAAAAGGTTCCCCCGATCCAGCTTGGGTCCACACTGATGGGACACAAATTGTCCTTCACTGCATCAGTATTCCAAGGGAAGAGTCCACGCGGCAGCAGGATTTTTATTTTGGCTCCACACTGTGACAGCAGACACCTGGAAGATAAGACGTATATTCAGAAGGGTAGGTGCTTTTTTCACATGGATGCCCCCTCTGCTACTGATTCTGAGATCTACGGTTGGCAAACTGCAGTGACTGGCTGCTGCGTTTATCCCGTTCCTATAGACAATAAGTCACAGCACAGAAATAGACTCCTCCATTTCCCCTCAACACAACCACACAGAGTCAGAAGGTGGCTTCACTTTTCCCACAAACATCTAAATGGGCACAAAAAGTTAGTTTTCGACATTTAAGTCTTTCTGAATAAACGGTGCAGGGTTGAGGTGTCTGTTGTACGATTAAACTAGTGCAAACAGAGTATCAGAGTAACTTCCTGTCTGATTTGAATGAAAAACTTGATAGAATAAACTGAATAGTCTTTATTAAAACTTGCAAAAATTCATATAACTGGAATATTTTTGCCATTTTGAAGCATGTTTTTGTGTAAAAGCTGCAATATGGCTCACCGAGGTCACCTAAAAAATAAGTTTTGCAATTTTGGCCAATTTTCATTTATACAAAACTAAAGTTACTATTTTTGCTACTATGAATTAAAGATTATGGACGGTGACTTCATGGTCCAGGTAATAATCAAGGCTTGTATAGTTGACCTTGAGGTTTAGCCAAACAAAGCCTAAGTCCCGCCCCTTGTCCTATCTCACCTTCTCCAGTCGTCTGCCTTGGCTACGAAACCTTTGCCAAAAAGTCATTTTCTCACCATATTTCAGCAGAAATAACAATTTCCTGTCAGACGGACCCCAGATGTACGGGAAGTGTTCCATTTCACTGCTGCTGATGACATTTATGCTTGTATAAAACAAAACAGCAGGAGAATAACTGTAATGCCAAATTAAACATAAGGTTAAGGCTTATTTACTAATGCTCACACGAACCTCTTTGGAAGTTTGGACATTGAAGCCGTTTTAAGATCACAGCAAAACACTTCAGACTAAAGACTGATTAACAGTTCTCAGTCAGATCAGGTTCAGAGTCACGCACACACATCGATGGAGTCCTTTTCTATTCGGACTTCTCCGTTGCCTGGGGAGGGTTACAAAGCAGTTCCCCACCAGGACAACAGAAGGCGTAGCGCTTTCCTGGTGGTTTCCTGCCATCAGTGCAGTCACGTATCTGGTCTACGATGTGTATTTATGTTGTGTTTAGATTGCGTTTTTGTATTTCAGAGACTTTTTAACACAAACAAATTTCTCCCTCATTGTCTTCCACATCTTCATCCAAACCCATGTTTCCCATAATTTTCATTCACAAATAAAAAGTTTGCTGCATATCTTTGTACTCCTTCAGTCACGGATGTATAAATGCATTAACAAATTTAAAGGAAGAGGTGTCCTGACCTAGCCTGGCCTGCTGGGAACTCTCCTATTGAAATAACCCCACTTCCTGAGAATTGTATCCGGGCCATTCATCGCTGAGCAGCGTACGTCACACACTGCGACGCTCAGTTTCTCGTAAACAACGAAGATGACGCCTGAAGCGGAGTTTGCTGTGACTCTTTTCTCTGTTCTAAATAACTTGAACACGTCTTTAACAAGAAGAGCTGCTAAAAGCCTTTTTTCTAAAGGAAGAAGCTTGCGCCGTCGCCAGATGCTGTTTTTGACTACAGCTAAAAAAAAAACTACAGCATTGCGTGGTACAGTCGGCATTTCCACCTTTGTTCTGACTGGTTAATTTTGAGTTGGCTAGTCCTGCTCCTCATGTGCCTCTCTGCCACTAGACTATTTCTCTGTGTAGAATTAAACAGAGGATGAGTCTGACAGGCCAGGCTACCATTAGTCACGTATCTAGTGCAAGACAGTGTATTTACTATTGTTTACTATTTTCTGGTAGCTCAGGCTAATCTTGACCAATAACAAGCTTGTAGTTTCCATCACTTTAACAGATAGTTACGCTTTTGGGCATTTCGGCCTATGTGGGCCTGCAACAGCTCCCTTGCGTTGATGCATAATGTTGTTGTGTGTCTCCATGCAGACAGAGATGGCAGGCTTAAAGCTACAATGGCAATTTTGGAAAACAAATTAACTTAAAACGTTTTTTTCATGCCTCTTAACAACAGTCTAACATAATATAGCTACAAATGTATTCTGGAGATAAAAGAAAAAAACGCAATCGTCTAAAAACTTCCACCAATAACAACTTTTGGACTGAAAGCAACTTTTGGACCATCCAGTTGTCAGTCTTGCCGAACTGCAGCACTTCCCTGGGTCCTACTTTCATTACACACTCACGCATTTAGCAACTGAACACTGCTGTGTGAGAGGTTCTTCGCTCAGTAATATCAGAGGAGAAACAGTCGGCTGCTACCACTTCAGCTTTAGGACAAACTACTAGAGTCTCAAAAGGAAAACACCATTTGGAGTCACTAACCTAGAAAATGGCGTAGTGTGGTAATGTGGGTTTCTGAATTCAGCAGAAGCACCTCAGAGAAGATACCCGAGTGGAGGTGTGAGTGTTTCGTGAATGTGTTTGCATTTAAAACCTAGCTTGTTCTGTAGATTTGCTAAAGCGAATTTAACCTGTAGTTTATCAGTCCTGTATGGACATAAACTATTTCTCCAAACAGAGGCTGCTCAGGAAGCTGCTTACAGCAGGCAGAGACATGTCAAAATTCTCTTTTGATTGAGACAATTTAGCCACCATTAGTAGTGATAATGTTCATTTTCTACCGAGGTGTGTTCTCCGTTTGTTAGCTGTTTAGCTAGCTGAGCAAGGATACACGGGAGATGTCTTGTAGCCTAGCCTTGGTCAAAAATTACCCAGAATACACCGCGGTATTTCCAAAAGGACGGCGGATCAAAGGCTGGCAGCTACTTCCAGGGCAAATTTCAAGTTCAAAAGTAAGTCAACTAATTTAAAATGTTTTTTTTTTATATCCAAAGAAGTTATCTATTGTTGGTTAGTTAGCTTAGTAGTTGCAGCTTCGGTGGCTAGCGGGTAGTAACTCATATTTAATTTAACAAATATATACACAATTTTAAAAATAAAAGGCTTGTTATATACTTATATTGAAACTTATACCTATTAAATATAACGTTATCTCCGTGTCACGTGATGTTAAGTGACCGCCGTGGAAGTCGCGGTCATGTGATGCAAGTCTGTTCTATTTAACCGTTTTCTTTGACCAAGGAAGGACAGTGTCCTCGTAAGCAAGATGCCTGGCGTCTTAACATTGAGAAACACCCTTAGACTCACTCCCATGTATTTTAGACCAAATTTTCATGATTATATGTTAAGAAGCCGCCACTATTTTTTAGCAACTTGGCATCACTTAATTAATTTTCAACAACATTCTGATGGAAATTTCCAGACAAAACGATAAAACTACACATTGTCACTTTAACAAAGAGTCAAGATGCTCTTTTAAATTTAAATTTCTTTAACTTTCAATAAAAATCCATCTAATTAAAGATGTTCCTATTCTTTTTTTGAACATTCAGACTTGTTGAGAGTGTTTAAAAAAACCTTGTGCTGACTCTGGCAACCTCCTCTATCGCTCATTATCACTATGGTAATGAGCTGCCACAACAGCACCGGCTTGTTAAGTGAAGCATCAGCTTTCGATAAAATTAGCAATTTCACTTTAAAGTCGCACACAAAATCCAGGAGCGGACGCACAAATATCTTTGCACACAAACACACACATGCACACACGCATCATAGTTAATAGTGTGCATTAGTAACACTGTTGCCTTAAAGTCACAATCATGATGTGTTCAGTCCTGCTGCTGCTGTGAGTCGTTTCCTCGACTCAGCACAGTCTGTCTGTAATTCTTAACCTTATCACTCCTGTTTACCACAATCATGTTAACATATACAACACACACACACACACACACACACACACACAAACACATGAAGGTTACGGCAGCCAACAGCTTGTCTTGAAAAACCTGTCAGCAAGTCTATTTCTATCAAAGTTAGCAGCAGGGGTCTGTGCACCCCAACTGACCGGAGTTACGACTCACCGGTCCTTGGTTCTGCTAACACACAAACGCTGCTCTGGCCAACAGATATGATGGCCTGAGTCAACAAATAAATGACCTCCGCGTTATTATTCAGTCTCTGGAAGCCATATCTTATTTTTGGGGGTTTACTATGAGCAAAATTGACACAACACGAGACTATGTGAGTATGCAGGTTTGTAGAGTGGTGGGCAGCCTGACGTGAGGAGATATAAGGTGGACAACCTAGGTGTGAAATGAAGAGTGAGGTAATCACAGCAGAGCAGGAGGGGTGTTCACTGGCAACAAACTGTCTTGGAGGCTCTTCATATCCTGTGTCTGATGAATAATGGTGGACAGTGTGCTGGTTTGAGTTTTCAGGAGTTGTAAATGAGTTGTAAAGATGAAAATGCAAGCGGAATGAGCTTTTTCTTCTCACTTATATGTCACAGGAAGAGAGCGGTGAAGATAAATTTGTTTGTGGCGTGCATGCACTTGTGTACGTTTGAGAGTCACTAATTAATCCCGGCTGGTCGCAGCTCAGTGATAGGACTTCAGAAATAGCTCAGTAATTGAGGTGTGTGTGTTTTTTCCCTCAGAGCTGGAGAGGCTGAGCCTCATAAGGTGACAACAACAATCTTTTATACTTCAACACGATTCATTAAATATTCTTTGTTTCATTTTAAAGTCTTGAAAAACACAAAGCAGGGAGACCACCGGGGGATCGCCCCGGAGGCGACGACACGCAGACGAAATCGATCCCTTAACGGCGCAGCTGTATCGCAGCCTGAGCACCAGAGACAGAACTGCTGGGCCGCGTCTGCCTCACTGCTTTTATCACTTATATGACCTGAAAACTTGCCGTATCATCCGTGCCATATTGGCCTCATAAATATCAATGGAACAGCACTGACTCACTCTTCACTGGCCTCATTCTAGGAAACAGAAAACAGGTGGAGAGATCCATGAGAGTTGGCTCGTCTCAGAATCACTGCAGGCCTCAAAGTTTCTAACTCTGACTAAGAATCAGGGGAAAAGGTAAAGCTGTGAGCGGCTGGAGATCCAGTCTGGTGGAGATCCTGCTGCCTGTGGGGCCATAAACACAGAAGAGCTGTGAGTCTAAAGGTAACACCAGATTAGAGTCTTAAAATAATAACGGGTTCCACTTTATGGCTCCACACGCGGTTCTAGTGTTTTGTTATGGCCTTAGATATTTTGGTTGTCTACCAGCAAATGGAGCAGGGCTCACCAGCCTTGAGCAGCTGAGGGCTGCTTCACCATTACTGGACCATATGAAGAGCTACAAGGGTCATACAGAACGTTTGGTCATTCTGACCTTTGAACTAGAATAGGTTTGAGTTTAACTTGACTTCATGTAAAATAAACATATTTTAGGGCTTTTTAACCATATAATTTAAAAATCTTTATCAATGCAACTGAGATCAGAAAACTCTAGTTTGGGTGTGTCAGTTCAGAAGTCGCAGAAGCCAATCATCTGTCTCCATTTAGTCCTGTCTTCTGCATCTTCTACCCTCAAACTACTAACTCCATGTCGTCTTTCACCTTTTTAGTCTTCCTCTCAGCCTGACGGCTTCAACATCAGCGTCCTTCTACCTCATTGTCTGTCCACTGTCCTCTGGAAATGTCCCAGACCTCACTCTGGCCTCTGAATTTATCTCTAAAACATCCAACATGAGCTGTCCCTCTGATGGACTCATTCCTGATCCAAACTATACTCATCACTCCCAAACAGAACCTCAACATCTTGAGCTCTACAACCTCCAGTTCTGTTGTTGTCGTAACAGAGTGACCCTTTAAAGAGCAAGTCACCCCCTACCAGAGTCTTACTCCACTTTCTGTTTGAAAAATGCAACAAATGCTGTTGCCTGGCAGACCGAGAGGGTGGAGCCACTAACAAATACACACACACACTCACGCACATGCGCGCACACACACATACACACACACACACAATGACATTGTGACATCATAATGTACCAGCTAACGTCATAGTGTACTCTTAGCCAATAGCGATGCAGTGCAGTTTTTACCTGAAGAGGGCGTAACACTGACAGTTTTAGGCAGAATATTTAAATCTTAACAAAGGTGCACTAAAGTGCCAAATTACTGACTACGTGTGTCAACAGCACAGTTAGACACTCATTTATAGTTTATCAGTGAAAAAAAGTTGATTTGGGGGTGACTTGCTCTTTAACATGGAAACACTGAAGAATCATATTATTCTGCGCATCTTAAAGCTGCAAAAGCACATATACAGAACAAGCTAGGTTTGAAATGCAAACACAGGTCATGCAGCACTCACCCCTCCTGTCAAGCATCTTCCCTGGGCTGCGTCCGCCGGAACCAGAAACCCACATTGCCAGAGGAAACGAAAGAGCACTAAACACCAGTCGCTATTTTCTAGGTCCAAACGTCTTGTTTTCTGGACCGTGACTTTAAATGGTGCTGTTCTTTTTGGGAGTCTGGTAGTTTATCTTGAAGTTGAAGTGGTAGCAGCCAGCTGTTTCTCCTCTGATATTATTGAGGGGAGAACCGCTCACACAAGTGGTGTTCTGCTGCAATCAGGTCAAAAATCTGCATAATCATCTTGAAGCAGGCCTAAGATGATAAGGTGAAACCATACAGATTTGACTGTGTTGAAGGTGTGGTTCACTGGAAAAACATAGACAGATCTGTGTCACACTGACACTCAACATTCATGGACTCACCCGTCTTTGCTCGCAACGGGGAAGGTTGTTGTTGGTTTAGCCTCCAGGAAACAGCAGACAATGTCTCAGCTCGTAGAAGCTAACCATTAGCTTTAGCGACTCCCCCAGGCTTGTGCTATGTGTGGAGATGAAACATCAATGGTGCAAAGCAAACACAAGTCAGTCCTTTCCTCTTTTTCCCCTCTCACTGAGAACTGTGTGTCCCAAGCTTCTCACATGCAGCTGCCTTTCTACATGCCCACTCCACCCCATTCCGACTAAGCTCCTCCAAGCTATTGCTCCTACAGTAGTCGCAGCAGTCAAACATGTGATCAACGCTTCACTGGCATCCGGTACATTTCCCACCTCTCTCAAGCATGCTCAGGTTAAACCGCTGCTAAAAAAAAAACCCATCTCTTCCTCCAAATCATGTGGAGAACTACCGACCTATCTCTCTCCTCCCTTTTCTGTCCAAAATCATAGAAAGGGTGGCTTTCAAGCAGATCACAGAATACACCTCACAAAACTGTCTGCTTGACCCTTACCAGTCTGGGTTCAAAAAGGGCCACTCCACTGAAACTGCTCTGTATTGACAGAATCCTTAAAAGAAGCTAGAGCGACTGCCAAATCCTCAGCGCTTATCCTGCTCGACTTATCGGCTGCATTTGACACCGTCAACCATGGCTTCCTTTTGTCCACACTCTCTCAGAGAAAGCACACGCCTGGTTTGAATCGTACCTCACAGGACGATCATTCACTGTATCTTGGCTTGGACAATCCTCTAGCGTGCACCATCTTGCCACAGGCGTCCCCCAGGGCTCTGTACTAGGACCTCTTCTCTTTGCCATAGACACCACCTCACTGGTTGAGATCATTCGATCACATGGCTTCTCCTACCACTGCTATGCAGACGACACCCAGCTCTATCTGTAATTTCCAACGGACGACCACACTGTCTCTGCATGAATATCAAACTGTCTCTCTGACATATCAAAATGGATGAAATCCCACCATCTCCAACCAACTTCTCTAAAACTAAACTACTTGTCATCCCAGCAAAACCATCCATACAGCACAAAATCTCAGTCCAAAATGACTTCCTATCACTGGCTTCTTCAAAGGCAGTTCGAAATCTGGGTGTTGTGAGTGATGAACACCTGACCTTTAAAGATCATGTTGCCTCTGTTGCTCGTTCATGCTACTTTGCGCTGTATAACATACAAAAGGTCAGACCATACTTAATACAACATGCCACCCAGCTCCTGGTGCAATCTACTGTCATCTCCCACCTCGATTACTGCAATGCCCTTCTAACTGGTCTTCCAGGCTGTACTGTGAGACCTCTTCAAATGGTCCAGAACGCAGCAGCGCCTCTGGTCTTCAATCAGCCAAAAGGAGCACACGTCACCCCTCTGTTCATTGAGCAACACTGGCTACCGCTAGCAGCACGCATCCAATTCAAATTGCTAACACAAGCATACAAAGTCCGAGATGGTACGGCTCCCATCTACCTGAATCCTCTTGCAAAGGCTTACGTCTCGGCCCGGCCGCTCCGGTCATCACAGGATCGTCGGCTAGCAGTGCCTACACCACGCTCAGGACAATCCAGACTCTTCTCATGCATCGTACCACAAATATGGAATGACCTACCAAGCACTACAAGAACAGGGGCTTCCTTTTCAATTTTCAAGAAACTCCTGAAGACCCTGCTCTTCAGAGAGCATCTTCTAAACTAGCACCCTCCCTGCACCCGTCCCCCCTCTCTACCGTCCACTCCTTGTTCCCTCCTCTCATGATTCATCATGCTGCCTCACTGCCACCTGTGACTGACTGGAAATTGTTTTTGTTGTAGTTGTTGTTGTAGCCTCAAGGGCAACGTGCCGATTATAACTTGTAAGTCGCTTTGGACAAAAGCATCTGCTAAATACAAACATAAACATAAACAAGTCAGTGGTACTCGCATTGCTGTTAGCCAATCAGAGGCGAAATCTCAGGAAATAAGACTCCAAATCCCATCATCTGAAGCTACTTTTTCCTCCATCTGACTTGTACTTCCTGAAACAGAAGCATCTAAAGCCCCCCTTCCTCTTTGAGTACGACTTACAAGGCATTCATTCCTACTACAGGACACTGCAAATATATTGATTAAACAGTGATCCACACCTTTAAAAACAACCATAAGGAAAGCTAAAGTTATTAGTTGCTTTTATAAACATTTCCTCTGGGCAGTATTTGTCATAACGCATTCTCAAAATTATAAAGTATCTGATTGTGGAAAAAAATAAGTTGGCTAACAGTTTTATTAGTGATCTGCTTTATCTCCTGACTTTATGGCTTGACTGACACCCCCAGTCTCTGCTGTGACCTATGGATTTGACAGCTGCGCATTCATCACAACCCGCTGATAGCATCAGCATATTTCACTATCCGAAGCACCTTCCCGAAGCAGTGGAAAGCTGCACTAGTGATTATCGTGACAGCCTATTTGAAGCCCCAAAATCTGAAGACATTCCTAAATGTCGTTCTCCAAAATGACAGGAATAATAATCAGTGTGTTGCAGATGCTCAGCCCTTTGGTGTAATTGCAACGACAGAAGACTGGCTATCACAAATGGTCCTAATGTTCTGTTATGCTAATTCTCTAAGAGCCGTGATGAAAAATCTCCAAAGATACAGTAATCGTAAACCTTGGACGCTGAGTATCCCTTTTGCTGTGTTTGCCTGCTCTAAGTTTGCAGCCTGCAAGGTCACGAGAGCAGCTGTGCTTCAGAGCAAAAAACTGTATATTGCACTTCAATTGCTCGGGAAGCTTTGGGATGCCGGTATTCCCCGCTCTGTTATGCTGGCCAGCTGGATTCATTTCACCGGCTATTAGTGCCTCATTTTATAGTTGATGTGTGATTCTGCTGAAATTGGTTATTAAGTATTGTATGCTAAATGGAGTTCTGATCAGCAGACAGGGCTGGAAAACAGTTTTAGCGTAAAAACAAATGCCTTTTGTAAATAAAAAAAATGATGTTTTGTTGTGAAATCTGAACTTGTAACACCCTGGTGTGAAGTGAATGTTCAATCAGAACAGGTGTTGATGTGATGAGGATCACAGCTTACGGCGGATAAAGAAACTCCCAAGATGGTGCATCCTAAAGGACGTCCTTCCTCTGGTTTCCTCGTGTGTGAAGAGCTCAAAAACATAAACATCCATCTCATGTAATGTGTTTCTTTCTGCAGGTGATTGCACCTTTTGTTCTTTCATCTGGATCTCAGGTGCTGGTCATACTCATTTTTGGTATTTTACTTGGGAAGAGTTTTTTTATCTTTAAATTTGTGTAAATGTTGAAAAACAATACGATATCCCCCCCCCCCAAAAAAAAAATCAAAGCGTGTCAATATGAAGTCCTTCCGCTCGGCTCGCTGAACTTGCTGCTCGGTGCATTTTCACTTAACAGCCTAGGGTACAGCTGAAGGGGAGTCCACGAGAGTTTCTGCGATGTGTTGCCATGGCGACAAAGTTATGCTCTCCTCCCTTCCTGTCTCTCCCCTCACACTCGTACACACCCGCCCCCCTCGCCCTAGTCAGGCGTTGATTCTTTCGGCGTCCCCACGGGCGAGGAGAGGGGTCAGGGTTGGCTCCATCTGTCTATGTGATGGGCACTGGTGCCAAGCGCCACAGGGGCTGGAGGGAGAGGAGAGCAGGCTTGTGTGGAGTGGGAGGTTAACGCTTGTTTCTGAGCTGTCATGTGGGACTCTGAATGAGGCTGAGAGGGAGGGATAGGTACTGTGTGAGCAGAAGGAGGGGGGCTGGCGATGGCGATAGGGTTTCACTGCTGTTCTTGGTGTAGCTCTTGTTGATGTCCAAAGGAAGGGGAAAAGTGCTGAATGGGTCTTTATGCAGACAAGCTGGATCTTTCTTTCTCCTCCAGTCACAATAGACAGCTAAAGCACACAGGCAGCCGCGGTCTGTCCGGAAACAGAGCCGAAACAATGGCCGAGTCACTGCCACAGCTCTCCCTCTCTCTCTGTCTGGAATTACAAAGGAAAACCTACAAGAAACAGAAGAGAAGGAACACTTTTTCATCAGCTGCTCTTTATGTACCATAACTTCACCTCTGGTTCACTTTAACTACTTTTTACTTCCAGAAGATGGTCCCCGAAATAAAGTACATATGTTTGGTTAAACATCAAACTCATTATGTTTCAGAAACCCTTAATTTTCATCCCTGAAATGCTCTAATTATGTTGAGCTTCTTACAGAAAATTATGATTCATAGGAAATAATGGATGCTCTGATGAGCCTCTCGTCACTGGACCGTTTTTTTTTTCCCAGACAGTGATTCTTTATGTCCGCAAATGCATTGGTTTCAAGACAGTGCTGGTTGCTCCACAACATTTGCACTTAGTCGATAAAAAGCATGTTTGGGTCGTTTTTTGCACTAAATCCCTCTCACTCAAAGCAGTTTCAGCTGTTTTATTCTTGACAGTTTTGGTATATTCCAGAATGACTAATTTCAGGGCTCTGTCACTTTGAGAAAACCAACTGGAGGTGGCCACGCCCACCCATCCCCTGCTCAGGCTGCTATAAGCTGAGAAGCTCTGATGTCTGGGAGGGGCTTGGAGAAGAGCGGCTGCTTCTCTAGCAGCAGCTCTCTCTCTCTCTAGCACGTGAGAGGTGGTTCTACACTAATTTACCCTTTTGTGATGTCACAATGAGGGACATTTTAAAACGGTTAGTTATAGGCATATATGGTGGTGCAGTGGTTAGCACTGTTGCCTCGCAGCACAAAGGTCGCAGGTTCGAAACTCGGCTCGGCTGCGGCCTTTCTGTGTGGAGTTACGTGTTCTCCCCATGTATGTGTGGGTTTCCCCCGGGTACTCCGGTTTCCCCCACAGATCACAACATGTCCTATAGGTTATAAATTGTAAGTTGCTTTGGATAAAAGTTTCTGCTAAATAAATAAACATAAACATATATTTTCTAAAATAAAATCCTGACAGAAAATTGATGGATGTACTTTTTTTCACATTTAGAGTGTTTATAAGGGCAGTAGAGAGAGACCCACATGGTAACACAAAAGAATGGAAAAGGCAAGTTTTGCATAATATGTCACTTTTGAGCAGAATTTGCTAAGCAGTATCTTACATTATAGCCTTTCTTTACCCTAAGATGCCTCTTTGGTAAATGGTAAATGGCCTGTATTTGCATAGCGCCTTCTTGGGGTACTACAACCCCACAAGGCACTTCACAACACAATCAGTAATTCACCCCTTCACACACACATTCACACGCTGGTGGGGATGAGCTACGATGTAGCTACAGTTGTCCTGGGGCGAGCTGACAGAGGCGAGGCTGCCGTACGCAGGTGCCACCGGTCCCTCTGACCACCACCAGCAGGCAAGGCGGGCCAAGTGTCTTGCCCAAGGACACAACAGCAGCATTTTCTGGTCGGAGCCGGGATCAAACCTGCAACCTTCCGATTACTGGACAACCCACTCTGCCTCCTGAACTGCTGCTGTCCCACTGTCTTGTTAATGGTTGCGCAACAATCCATTAACAGAATAAAAACGGCATCATGTTATCATTGACTGGAAACTTTAACCCTGCGGCCAAAAAAAAAAAGTTTTACAATTATGAAAGTGAGGTAGATCCAGGTGCTGTTTAAGCAAGCTGCAGAAGATAAAGTGGCAGCATGAAGTTGGTATAAAAACCACCAAAGAAGAAGCAATTAAATTTTGAAGTTGCAATGTTAGCAGACCATGAAACCGTGAAAGGGAACCTGATTAAAACACAGTTTCACTATCGAATTTATAACCAAGCCATGAACAGATGAATTAATCTGTAAAACCCACCTCAACAAATACTCAAAGTTGCTAGAAACTTCAAGGAACAACAACCAGTCAGACTAATGACCCGAGATTTAACAAGGAGCTGTGTACGCTGTCCTCCAATGCTGAGAGGGAAAATCAACCAAACAGTGGCGCCTGAGCTGAGAAAGTAAGAATCATTCTGATGTGTAAAACAGAGACCTTGCACGCTCTCATCTGAAACGTCAACGGCTCGAGCTGCCCTCTGAAGCAAGACTAAAGCTCATGAAAGAGGATTTGCATTGTGAAGCAGGTCAATAGCTGTGCACCGGTGCACTGAAGAGTGCCATAGGTGTTTATTCATTTAGCTCCAGCCTCTGCTAATGATTACTAGCCTCTGTTAATGACAGTTACTGGTAAAAGTGCTCAGCTGGTTTTGTTGGTATGGCCTTGGCTCCTGCTGTTTGACGACATCATACTAAGGCTCAGGATAACTTGTAGAGCACGATGCCCATCACAAAGAGGATTTAGAGGTATTTTAGCTCAGCAATGCCTGAAAAAGAGCATCTCCTGCTTAATGGGCTCGACACATGGGAGGCGACATCGCCTCTCCTCCATTCATTTTCAATGAGACATGCACGACAAAGCGATAATCGCAGGTCTCCCTCCTACTAAGCGAAATGCGAAAAACGTGCGTGTGAAATTTTGCGCTCGTGCACATGTCGTGCACAGGCGACCCAGCGACGCGATCCCAGAAAGTTGAAATATTTTCTACTTTTCATCGCTGTCGCTCGGACGAGGACCAATCAGGTTTCATTCACTGACCAATGAGTGGACAGGATGCTCCGTACATCTCCGAGCAAACATGGACTCTGTTTCTCCTTCTGTAACTGTGTTCATCTTATGGGCTCGACACACGGGAGGCGGCAAAAGACCGCAATCAGCAAAAGCAGCGGCCAGCGGCAAAGCCGTCTACGCGTTCTGTTCCATGGCGAAATCTAAACTTCCGTTGTTTTGCTTGGCTGTGTCAGTTTGGAGGGAATTAAGGTTATTTAAGCGGTTCAGAGTTAATAAAGCGGTAGATATGATGTTTCACAAGGTGCTGCTAGAGTTATGTGAAATATTACTTCTGATTTTACTATATAAAACATAATAATAATCAACTTCTCCTCCATGTTTGCTCGGAGATGTACGGAGCATCCTGTCCGCTCAGTGGTCAGTGAATGAAACCTCGGTTGATTGGTCCTCGTCCGAGGGACAGCGATGAAAAGTTGAAAGTATTTCAACTTTCTGGGATCGCGTCGTCGGGTCGCCTGTGCACGACACGTGCACAAGCGCAAAATTTCACACGCACTTTTTCGCATTTCGCTTAGTAGGAGGGAGACCCGCGATTATCGCTTTGTCGCGCATGTCTCATTGAAAATGAATGGAGGAGAGGCGATGTCGCCTCCCGTGTGTCGAGCCCATTTATGTGAGGTCCACACCGTGTGATTAACTGAAGCATGTCCTGATAGACAGAGAGTAGCCCTATCATGGTTTGTAATATGGGATGACAACTCAACCTGACACAGCCAATCAAAACAACGGAAGATTACATTTCGCCATGGAACAGAAAGCGTTGACGGCGGTTGCCTCCCGTGTGTCAGGTAATAAAAGCGACAGTGACGAATTTAGCTGATCACGGTCGTTTGTCGCCCCCCGTGTGTGGAGCCCATTACTTTACCACTTGCTGAGCAGACATTGTGTTTATCAGACCTCAGAGGCCACTAATGATGGAGGTGTTTTGCTCTGATAATGGAAAAAAAAGGTTTTTATGTAATGAAGCCAATTGTTTGATTTTCATAAACAATCATTTCTATTCAACATCATAGAAATCAGAAGATGCCAAATATCAATGAATCAAAGATACTAAAAATTAAGGCTGCTTAATAAGGGAAGGTCAGGATCATAATTATTTCATTGGATTGCTCTTTGAGTTTAAAAACACTGCATTTATTTATCCTCTTGCAGAAATACAGCAAACTGCTGTCTGGCTTTTCAAAATAAGGGCATCAAGAGATGTCTGGAACACTAGATAGTTTATTATGACCTGTGCTCACTTAATCATTTAGCCATTTCCTATAATTGTTTATTTAGAATAAATACTTTCAAAATGTTTTACTTTGATCACCCAAAAGCTTTGTCTGATTATGTTAAACATGAAAAATCTAGAAATCACATTTTTACGCTGTTAAGGGATCACATTTTGACTCATACTTTAATGCGTTTGCAGTGGTCTCTAGTCGGAATGAATGCCTTGTAATTTTTCTGGGGAAAATAATTTTCAGACGCTCCTGTTTGAGGATGCAGAAGTCAGCTAGAGGAGAGGGTGGCAGAACGGCAGGATTTGGAGTCTTACTTCCTGATATTTGGACATCTCATCTCTGACTCTGCTCTGCACATTGATGTTTTATCTCCACAAAAAACCCAAACCTGAAGGAGTTGTGCCATGTGGTGGAGTTGCTTATGCTAGAGGTTAGCATTAGCCAAGACGTTCTCTACTGGTTTCTGGATGCTAA